ACCAGCCAGAGCTTGGAGCATAGGAGAGGGAGGAAAAAGGCTGATTGAACATGGTCTTCATGAGAAAAAGGACTCGGGTCCCTCACTGTATTTTGTGGAATACAGTATATGAATCATTTCCATAAGAAATATGGATGCAAGGATTTGGTCAGCGGCCTTGTACTAGAGCAAAACTTTGCAGCATTTTATGGATTTGCTGGCTTGACCAAACAACATACACAAGACAAAAACTCTACTCCATTGAGTACTGTTTTTCTTTTATTCTCCTTTTTCTACACAGTGTAGCTACCGTGCATAGGCGTTCTTATTTCAATGTATGCTCCCCACCTCCACCCTTCCTCCAAATTTTGATTTCTAAAGATTTTTAAGAGATAAATTTGGAGGTTTTCCAAAACCTCTGAAATCCCCTCTTCTACTGTTTATATGACATCGTGCTTTTTTAGTTTTATTGGAATCCTCAGCAAGAACATGAATATTTAGGCTTCTTTGTTTTATATGTAAAAATTGAGTCAATGTTTCCAAAAACTTGGAAGATCTGCTTAATATCTTTCTTCATATGAGATTCCTCAACATCTCAAACATGGCAGATTTGTTTATTTAACATATTTTTTCTCCTTCTCCAATAATAACTGTTATGATTATTTGCTATTTAACACCATCAAATAGTCACATCTGCCTATTCCAAGTCCTTGGGAAAGACTCAGTAATTGACAAAAATGCCAAATCCAGTCTAAATATCTGGCTGACTGTGCAATGAACAATAATTATTTGTTAAACTTTCCTGCTTAAAACTGCTGTTATCAGATCAGTACAATGTAATTTCTTTGAATGTAACTAAATTTTGTTATGCTGTCTGCAAAATTAGGCAGATTTGACTTCCCACTAGCAATCCACCACTAACTGTAATATATTATCTTGTCTTTACAGTATTATTATTTTAATGCTTCTTATTTGTAATCCTGGTCTGTGACCGTAATAAAAATTATTATTAAATTATTGTTCAATATCAATTCCACCCAACTCACAACAACTCTCTTTATCTGTTCCTGGGTGCATTCAGCTTTTAATACTAAGCAATATATTGCTGTCATGATTAATAATTAATATTGGATGATATTAGTATATGTACTACTATATATTTGGTCCCTGGCTATCCTTACACATAAAACATAGGAATAAATAAAAATAAGCTTAAAAGATAAGATGAATAAAACAAACTGCAATATGAACTACGGTGTAAGTTCAAGTAAACTACTTCAAATATTGAGTGATTATATACAGGTAGTCCTTGACTTACAGCAGTTCATTCAGTGACTGTTCAAAGTTACAACTGCACTGAAAAAAAGTGACTTATGACCATTTTTCAGCATCCCATGGACAGTGGCAGGAAAGGTCATAAAATGATCAAAATTCAGATGCTTGGCAACTCTCTCACATTTATGACCGCTGCAGTGTCCTGGGGTCATGTGATCACCTTTTGCGACTTTCTTACAAGCAAAGTCAATGGGGAAACCAGATTCACTTAACAGCCCTGCTACTAACTTAACAACTTTAGTGATTCACTTAATGACTGTGGCAAGAAAGGTCATAAAATGGGGGAAAATTCACTTAAGCAATGTTTCACTTAACAACAGAAATCTTGGGCTCAATTGTGGTCGTAAATCAAGGACTACCTATATTAGTACTAAGGCTTCAGTGAAGAGATCATCATCAATCATAAGAGATAAATAGGAGAATTAACAGCAATTGTTATGATTAAACCTTGAGCATGTTTAATCAAACCAAAACTGTTCCTAGTGAGGTCTTGCCAGATCTTGCTGACTATTGAACAGAGCTTGATGACTTTCCTATCATTCAGATCAGCTAAAAGATAATCGAGACAAAGAGTGTATGGCCTGGGCAAGGGTTAAGGAAGATGTCATAAATTTGTGTTACAGATCTTGTTGATAAGGTTGAAAGTAATGGTTCCTGATTTACAGTGACAAAGGCATTCAGGGCATGGGATTTTCTGGAATCTCTCAGCCAAGAAGAAGCTTGGAGAGCAATAAATAATGTTATATACTGAGCATTTGTTTATATGCTTTTTCAAGCCTTCCAAGTTGCTGATGAGCCCTAGATCCTGTGTGGAAGCGATTTCCATATGTTAACTGTGGCCATTCCAGAAAATTTTCAGCCCTACTCTTAATATTCATTCCATTAGCTTTGTTCAAGATGGTCCCTCACAGGTTAGTATGTTTCTAGTGCAAGAGCACCCCATCCCTATCTAACTCTGCTCTACTCCATCCTTATTCTTCCTTTGCCTGGAAAAAATATACCTGACCCATCATAAAAATTAACAGGTTTTGATGCCACCTGCCAATGCTGGAAAATTCTGGCTAGGATTCGTATCTTGCATGGTATCTGTCAAGATTCTCTAGGTGAATGGAGCAGAGTATCCTCTCCTGAAGGAAACCAGGATTTCAAAGAACACTGTGGCTGGACATCATCAACGCTGACACCAACCAGACACAGAAAAATTCAAAGAAGTAGTACAAGCTCAGAAGATGTGGAGGCACCTGGCCCAGAGAATCACCAAGTGTTGGACATGACTGAACAGCCTCCTCCTCCTCCTCTTCCTCCTCCTCCTTCCCCCAAATGTGACTGTGCTACTCCTTGCCAGACACTGGATCATATAATGACTAGCTGCTATTTGAGAGCTTATACAGGAGGAAAAGCATATTTTCTTCAACTAACAAATACTGCACTTAATTGGATAAACGATATACTTTAGATATTAATATATAGAACACTTATTCCATTCTCATCAACCAACATATTTGAAAATGTAATCTACAACTATATATAACTTCTTGAATTCCTTATACCTTACAAAATTGACTACCTATTCCCATCATACCTTTGCTCCTTTTATATATTCTTACTATTGTTCCAGGTACTTTATTTATTTTATTTATTTTATTTTATTAAATTTCTATTCCGCCCTTCTCCCGAAGGACTCACGGCGGTGAACAGCCACGAGATAAAACACATAAATACAAAAAATTTAAAATGAATTAAAAACGAATTAAATAATTTGGCTGAATTTAAAATACCCCATAATTTAAAACAAATTAAAATTTACATTTAAAAATTTACATTTAAAAAGGGGAGAAGGTTTAGGCCAGGCCAGCTTGATGGAATAGGAAAGTCTTAAGCGCGCGACGGAAGGTGCGCAGATCCGGAATCCTCCGTATCTCTGGGGGGAGCTCGTTCCAGATCGTAGGTGCCCCCACAGAGAAGGCTCTCCCCCTAGGGGCCGCCAGTCGACATTATTTGGCTGACGGCACCCGGAGGAGCCCCTCTCTATGGGAGCGTACTGGCTGGTGGGAGGCTATTGGTGGTAGCAGGCGGTCCCGTAGATAACCAGGTCCTAAGCCATGGAGCGCTTTAAAGGTGATAACCAGAACCTTGAAGCGCACTCGGAAGACCACCGGGAGCTAGTGCAGCTCGCGCAGGAGAGGTGTTACATGGGAACTCCATGTATGTCTTTATGTAAGTCACATGTAACTTGTGTATGTCTTTATGCCATACACAAAATAAATAAATCTTCCTTTGTCATCTTTGCTTTCCCCAATAGTGAAATAAGAACACCCAGCCATTGGATGGGGAGGGTGAGAGAGAAAGCTTTACTTGAAAGCAGCTAGAGTGGATCGGAGATGGGTGCATCACAGTACCATGGATACAGAAGGAAAGTGCAGTTCTCACTAATGGGAGAATTCAACTGGACTGCCTATTTCCAAGGAAGCACAGCAAAATTGGCTTCATACCATTTCCTTTAGCAGGGGAGTGAAGTGATAGTAGATCAGTTTACCACTGCAAACTGCACATAAGCTCTGTGACATCACAGGGTACAAAAACAGTCTAAATTTCAAATTGGTATATTCCCTGATCCTAAAAGGGGCCTCTGGGATGTAGGAAAAATGTTGATTTTTTTTCTCTCCTGAATATAACAGAATAACAGAGTTGAAGGGACCTTGGAGGTCTTTTAGTCCAACCTCCTGCTCAAGCAGGAGACCCTACAATATTTCAAACAGGTGGCTGTCCAGTCTCTTTTTAAAAGCCTCGAGTGATAGAGCACCCACAACGTCTGAAGGCAAGTCCTTCCACTGGTTAATTATTCTCATGTTAGGAAATTGCTCCTTAGTTCTAGGTTGGATCTCTCTTTGATAAGTTTCCATCCATTGTTTCTTCAGGTGCTTCGGGAAACAAGTTGACCTTCTCATCTTTGTGGCAGCCTCTCAAATATTGGAACATTGCTATCATGTCACCCCTAGTCCTTCTTTTCATTAAACTAGACATACCCAATTCCTGCAACCGTGTTTCATGTTTTAGTTTCCAGCTCCCTATTCATCTTTGTTGCTCTTTCCTGCACTCTTTCCAGAGTCTCTACATTTCTTTTTTCATAATATGGTGACCAAAACTGGATGCAGTATTTTAAGTGTTATCTCTTTCAAAGTTGAGCTTCATTTTAGCCTGCTCGGCTTGACACTGGGAAAGTATGAAGTGTTTAGGAAGATTTACAGGCAGCATACAAAGCTAGGAGATGGGAAAAGCTGCTTTATTTTTCTGTGGAACAGAGGATTTTGTTGCTGTCCTACTCTGTTTGGCAAGAAGTCATGAAGTATGGGTGGGCTTGTTTGTGTGAGTATGCACTGTTGTTTTCTTAGTGCCTAGCATAAGCTGAGAGTAGGAAAAAGTTACAATTACAAGGGAAGGAGGAGTCCTAATGGTGATCCTTAATGAATTACAGAACAATAACAAACCTTCTTACATCTATAAACCATTCTTTGATGTGAGCATAGTGTTAGAGGGGCCTTTGGACTCTATGGGACAACTACTAAGAGAAACTTATCTTCAGAAGATGGGAATCCATCACTGTGTTTCAAACAATGAGGAAGTTTGTTCACTGAGGAAGAACATCCAAGGGATTAGTTGGATTTAGCCACAAGATAAGTAAATACCTTGTATTCTTGGGCAACCATTCATCTTCCTGTGATGTTACCAGAAGTGGGCAAGAAAAGAATTATTTTTTCTTTTGTTCAAAGCATAATTTTTATGAAGGATGTTCTTCAAACAATATAAGACAAATCTAAAAAAAGAAAAGAGAAGAAAGAATAATAACGAGAAGAAAAAAGTGGAAGAATAATTAATAGAACAAAGGTCAGAAAAATAAGTGACTTCAAATCTCTTTTGCAACAAAAGTTAGCAACTTATGCCCAGCCTTCTTTCTTAATAGTATAAAAATCCCTTCAGCCCTTTATTTAGTCCTTTTTTAATCATCAGATCCATGAATCATTTCACGGTCAGCAAAAAGTCCGTAAAAGATTTTCAATCTTCTAAAAAGATTGTTTTTGTACCTCACCCAAATAAGTCAGTTACAGTTGCGAAACCCTTCTGGAAGGAATACATTTGGGGAAACTTGATTTAGTCTTGAATAAAATCCAGGACTTTTCTTTCTCTTTTCCTTTCTCCATCTTGAAAATAAGAACTGAAAAAAACTGGAAAAAAAACATGCCTCCATTATCAATTTCTCAACAAATCACAGGCCAACTCTCTCTTTTTAAATAAATAATTTGACACGGGTGGGGTGAAGTCTTCATTTCAAGTAAGTACAGAATCTTTGAGATGTTTTATTAATGGCTGAAGTGTATCAAACACCAGAAAGTGGAACAGTTAGACTGCCAAAGAGTTAAATTGATTCCTGCTTCCCTGGAAAAAAAAGGGTGGGTTTGTAAATGTCCATTATTATACTAAATAAAGTCAATAAATAGTGAAAACCTGAGAAACAGCCCACACATGGCTGAGGCAAGGAAATTTGGAATAATTTGAAAGTGCTTGAATTCTACTGCACATGGTGGCTGCTTCAACAAGGCTTTCAATGGTGTAAAGTAAGATGCCACTCAGGATTATGAATATTTGTTTAAATACTCCATTTGTGGTCTTGTTTTAAAAGTTAATTATGTATGTTTACATGTGATAAAATTTTCTCGGAAGCATGTTTGTAAATAAATAGGAAGAAGGAAGTAGATGAGTGAGGAATAGAAAAGGAAAAGTGGAAAACTTTATATATCCATATATTAAAAAATGCAATGAAAGATATAATTATCTAAAGGCACAATTATCTTTGTTTTAAATATTTTGGTTTGACACATTTTAATGAATCAATTGTTAGGGGATATATAGTTTTTTATTTTTACTTATACCTATTAATGTTTTAGATTTATTATCCCAGTAACAACTGTATTAACATAGTAACAGAGGAGCAAATGTTATACTATGTGAGTTATTTTGCTAGTTTTTAGTGTATTATTATATTTATTTGCTTCGCTTGGGTTTTGTTCTTTTAAATTTTGGTGAAATTTATATTGATTGGTATAAAGAAAATAGAGTAGTTACCTTAAGAAAGTTTCAACCCTTATCCTCAAGGATCCATCAAGAACAAAATTCACCCATTCTTCAGTGCAACATCTTATGTTTCTTTTTTCCTTATTTCCCAGAGACCTAAAGAACAATTTGATTAGCATCATTCAGCCTGGAGCTTTTCTGGGTCTTCAGGACCTGAAACGCTTGTAAGTAATAGTTTGAACTTCTCCGGAACATATTCCAGCTAATTTCCTGCTCTTGATTCTTTAATCTGCAAGCTACCTTTAATATTTACATGTGAATCCCATATCCCCACCCCCATAATTGCTTAACTTCCAAGCCCAGAGCCATTTCAAAAAGTTTTAAGTAATGTGTAACCTGTCCATAACTCATAATGCCTGACTGTTTACTCCAAGTGTCAGTTTCCTGATAATTTCAACAAAGATGCATGTGGTCACCATCTTCTGAGCTGGGTGTTTATTTTTCCAAAAGTAATTGCAACGTATGCTTGGAAAAGACAAATCTGTCCTTTAATTCTCCACCAGTCCTCTAAGCTAGTTGCACTCATTCAAGTGCTCATTCAAGGGGAAAAAACGCTTCTGGTGATTTCATGGATGTGTCCATGCAGTTGTTTTGGCAACAATACTAAAATGATTGGCTATTGTTTTTAGGGGTATTTTTACTGCTGCTTTTCACTCTGATCTACAATCTCACCACTTCTAATAAATCTCCCAAACAAATGCTGATTCTGCATAGTTTTTTGAGATTAACCAAGAAGTAGATGCTGACATTGAAAGGTGCTCAGCAGTTCAGAAGCATGCAAATGTAAGTAGATAAATAGGTACCACTTCAGTGGGAAGGTAACAGCATTCTGTGCGCCTTGGTGCATAGTCTTGCTGGCCACATGACCCCAGTAGCATCTTTGGACAATGTGAATGTTGATTTCCTTGGTTAAGAAACGGAGATGAGCACTGCTCCAAAGAGTTGGACACAAGTGGACAGGGGAAGCCTTTATCTTTACCAGTATACATTCAAGGTGTACAAGGTTTTCCGGCAAATTCAGACTATGCTGTGTCAACATTGGGATGCCCCATGAAGAGAAAGCTCATATACCCTTAATATCCATGGCTATTCACGGTCTGTCTATGGCTCCCATTTTTTTCTCATTGTTCTGCAGGGATCTCTCCAACAACCGCATTGGCTGCTTCAACATCGGCCTCTTGCAGGGACTGTCCAGCCTTATCCGTCTGTGAGTATTCAGTGGCAATGGTGAAGGTATGGTCTCACTTTGAGCCTCTGTACATGTGCTGTTGACAGGAACCCTTATTTATCAAATCCATCTTCCAAAATCTGGGTTCTCTCCAAAGGTGTGAATGTCACCTTCCAGAATTTCCACTTGGCAAGGTCAAAATTGACAGTCCACATAATTGAAAACTGTTCTGGTTGGAGAATACTGTGTCAAAGAATACTGCTGAGCACAGATGCCAAGCATGATGGGTTTGCTTTTATTTCATTATTCCTTTTCAACTTATTTTGTCAGGGAATCCTGAAATTTGAAAGGGAAAGCTGAGGGATTTATAAGAAATAGATCCCTATTGGGATCTATAGATTTATGAACCCAACTACCCATAGCAGCAACCCCATAGCAGCAAACCTGCTAGGTCTTTCAATTAAAAAAAACACATTGAATACTTTTGGCTAATTTTACTTTTTGATGTTATTTAGACAAATTCTTAAATTTAGCTATCTACAGCTATTAGTCATAGTGATGATATACCCTTAAGATAAGAGCAGTAGGTTGTTGGGAAGAACAGTAGAAATAGGATTATTGTTCTCACATCTGTCCTGGACTTCCCTTAGCTTTCTGGTTGGCAATTGGAGGGGACAGGAAGGACCTGGGTGAGATAGCTCTTTGGTCTGATCCAGCAAATCTCTTGTTTATTTTGTAGTAACTTTAGCATTTATACTCTGATACTTTCTGTGAAGAGTTCCTGGAAGAATTTACAGAAAAATAAAAGGCAGAAGTCCTTGTCTTCAAGTTTACTAATTAGGGAAGAAATGGTACAGAAGAGACAAGGGATAGGAAGGAATAAGAAAACCAGAAAGCTCAGGCATTATTTGCAGTAATTCTGTTTTGTATTATATCCAGCTGTCATGGAAATGAGCAACCTAGGGAGGTTCAGATAGAAACTCTCATCTCTAAAGCAGATGGTCTTGGGATGATGTTGCTCTTCTTGCAAGCTCCTGATAGATTCTGGTGGAGAGAACTTCAGTCAGAAACAGAAATAGCAACCGGACTTAGTTATGCTGTATGGTCTTCTGCCATGGCTTATGTTCTTGCCCCCCAAAATAAATTGAACCCCCTATTGCATTTCTTTGTTCACAGTAAATTTATGGAAACCATAGCCAAAAGATGAAGTGAGGGAAACTGACTTTAATTATTATAAAACTATATCATCATTTGTTGTGAGGGCTCTATGGAGCCCTGATGTTCAGAGAAAGGATGTTTCTCTCTAAGTACCAATTGCAAAGAGAATAAGATTCCTACCATTCAAAGACTTCCCTGAAGCAGCTTTCTTGCCACGATGAATCTCATCTTAAGTAGGCTTCTTGGTCTACTCGTGTAAGTTTTATCTTATTTTGTTATCATCCCCTTGATAGGAACATATCAGGAAATATCTTCGCCACCCTCCAGAGTGGAGTCTTTGATGAGTTGCTGTCTCTGAAAGTACTGTAAGTATTTTTTGTTTTGTTGGTCAAAGGAAAAGGAAAAAGCAGCACTTAATTTTTTTAAGCGATTAATTTAAGTGATTAATGTTGGGGTTGACATCTGGGTCTTTCTGCATGGAAAGCCATGCTCAGTCACATTGTCCTCCCCTTTGAAGCCCTCTGGAGAGAATAGACCAAGCCATCACCCAGCTGTGGACAAGGTTCCTCGATGTTCACTGTGCTACCTCAAGATGCTGGAGCTTTCTAGAGATGTTTTTGTTATCGAGGAGGGACAGGCATCTCTTTCCTGTGTTAATCTTCCTCACTGGCACTTCCTCTTCAATTTACATTTCTCTTGTTCTCCAGTGACTTTGCCACTGAATACCTGACCTGTGACTGCCATTTGCGCTGGGTCCTAGCCTGGTCCAAAAGCCATTCTGTCCAGGTATCTGATAAGACGGTGTGTGTCTACCCCAGCAACTTGCATGGGAAGCTACTACGAAACATCAGAGAGAGCCAACTGCGCTGTGGTGAGGCACCCTCCTGAGTGAGTGAGTTTGCTTGGTGTGCAAAGGAGATTTGTTCAGTAGTCCAGTGCTCTTTTCTCCTTCTGGGATACCTCCCTGCTTCTATTCCATCCTTCATTCAACAGATAGAAATAGCACTTAGACTTATATACCATCCCCATAGTACCTTACAACACTCTCTAAGTGGTTTACATAGTCAGCACATTGCCCCCAACAATCTTGGTCCTCATTTTACTGACTTAGGAAGGATGGAAAGCTGAGCCAATCTTGAATCGGTCAGGATTGAAGGAATCAAACTCCTGGCAATGTGAGCAGAGTTACCCTGCAATATTGTTTTCTAACCACTGTGCCACCACGCAGTGGTTAGAATTCTGTTACTGCTTAGCATGGATTATCACCATGAAGGGATAGTGGTGTTGGTCGGCTGCAAACCTCTGCAATTGATAATCCTTTCAGGGTTCCAGGTTTGCTTACTGAAATATCACAGCTCAATATGTAAAGTGTGTCTACTTCATTTTGCAATACCAAGAGGACTTCAGAACGGCTTACCAAAAACCTCACCCACAGCTCCCATGTCAAGCAAAGCAACATGATTCCTCTGGGATGCTTGCAGGGAAAAATTCCTGAGATCATCTTCTCTCAGCTGATGGAGTCCTCAGTATGGCTCTTCTTTCCCACAGCATAGCCTGAGTAACTGGATTTCCTTCACCACCAGTGACGGAAAGAAATTTTTCCTTGCTGGCAACTCTTAGAAGCAGCAGAATCTTACTCAAATGAACAGTGCTGTAAAGTACAATCCTCAGATGTCTTGCAAAAAGTTTGGCAGACGTGAAGTAATGCTAGTATAGCAGCAAAGCAGACAGGCAGCTCTGGAAACATGTGATCCTTGGGCAGTCTATACACATTCTGTTATTCAGCATACAGTTTCATGTTGACTTCATGCAGAATTTGGTGGCATGATGGCTCAGTGGTTGAGACTCTGGGCTTGCCGGTTGAGAAGCCGGCAGCCCAGTTTTGAGCCCTGAGTGCCAAATGACACCATAAGCGCCTGACCTCGCCCCAGCTCCTGCCAACCTAGCAGTTTGAAAGCCTGCAAATGCAAGTAGATAAATAGGTACCACTTTGGTGGGAAGGTAACAGCACTCCATGATGCCATGCTGACCACATAACCATAGAAATGTCTTCGGACAACGCTGGCTCAGGGGCCCTGAAACAAAGATGAATAGTTGGCAATGACTAGTGGAGTAAAATCTGAAGGGAATCATTTACCTTTTTAGCCTTTTACATTCAGAATTTAGCAACCTTTCTTTTTTATTTTAAATGCAGTACCTATATGAACATTTAGTTAATAGAATAATAAAAGGCAGAATTTAAAAAAATCTAAGAAAAAATCCAAATAGGCATATAGACAAGCATTCTGGACATGTCCTCCTGGATGTATTTATTTCTTTTCTTTGAAGAGTTGAGCATAACTGGCTTTGACTGCTGACCAAGTGGGCCTTTGGTTAGGTGCACTTTCTTTGAGAGGGTCCAGGACATGACTGATTTGGGCTTTCTTCTCTTGTTTCCCTAAAGCCTAAGTGAGGTCTCTCTCTCTCTCTCTTTTACCCACAGAAGGGTCCCCAGAGCTGCACACCCATCAGCTAATCCCCTCCCTGAGGCAAGTTGTCTTCCAAGGAGACCGACTCCCTTTCCAATGTACAGCCACCTATCTGGACAACAGCACACACATCCTCTGGTACCACAACCGTGCACTGGTGCAAGAAGATGAACCTAGCGGCATCATCTTAGAGGACAGCCTCGTTCATGATTGCACTTTAATCACAAGGTACTAAGGGCTGAACTGGGTCGGTCAAAGTTCTTTCCTAGTTATTTCCAATCTTTGGTCTAGCATAGCATGGCCATTAGGCAGGCTGATTTCCACCAACGTGGTCATTGGGTGAATTGATGTTGACTAATACCAGTAGGAACTAAGGTTTAGAAAAAAATGTCCTATTGATTCACACATAAGCAGTAACTTCAGAGTACAGGGATGGACTCAGGGATTTAGCTCATTTTTGTACTTGGGTTTGACTTGATTCCAAGCAGAAGGTCCTCCTAGAAGGAAGACTGGTGGCTGCCTTCTTAGTGGTGGCTTCCTGTTCTGGAATTCTCACCCAAATTGATTTGTCCAGTGACAACATTGCAATCTTTTCAGAGTCTTGAATATATATGCTTATTCCTTCAGGCATTTGCAGATATTTGAATGCATTATTCTTTTACGTTTGAATATATATATATATTTCTTTTTATCCTACTCACCCAGAAGGCAGTAAATAAATCTAATAACTGGAGAGTAACTTAGTAGATTTCTGTCCTTTGCTTCATTCTGGAATTCTCTCTGGTCACTCCCAACCACCCAATAAATACCGTATACCCTCCCCATTTTTAAAGACATCCATAGGGCATTACAAAAGAAATGCCTGTAGATTTGGGTGACCTGTATGACGTTATAATAATGTTACTTGAATACTGCTAATAAATTTGTTCTGTACTGAGCTCTGAAAACTTTTCTATTAGGATGTGCAGCTGTTTGGATCAAGAATATAAAAAAATGTGAGATGGATGCATGCTCACCACAGGTCTCTTTACCTCCTTAAAATAACCATGTTTTCTCCTGCACAACCATGGTAGTCATGCAGTCCCAGGAAAGTAGGCATTTCAATTAGCCATGCAGTATGATCTGTTGGTAGGCACCAAATCAAAATCAAATGCGTATATTCCTGGGATTATGTGGCTCCATGTAAGCCTAGAAAAAGGCAATACTTCAGGAGGCACTGAGAGATGCAGTGGGCATGTCCACACCTCTTCCAAAGTTCCTGCTTCAGTTCCCAGCAACTATATATTGCTAATTCTGTGTGTAAAGAATATGATGTAAGGAGAGGAAATATGGGTTGGGCTAGTCCACAGTTCAAAAGCTCAATTGATCATCAGCCCATGTTCTCTTCTAAAAGGATTCTCTGTTTGCAGTGAGCTCATCCTGTCGAACATCCATGTCTCAGCTAATGGTGAATGGGAATGTACCATCTCCACTGCCCAGGGCAATGTTAGCAAAAAGGTGGAAATTGTTGTGCTGGAGACCTCAGCCTCATACTGCCCACCTGAGCGGGTTACAAACAACCGTGGAGACTTCAGGTAGGAGCCAAAGTGTAGCAGAAGCTGTTATCAGGAGCAGAACTGATCATCTATGATAGGTTCCCCAGACGGTGGTTGGATTCGTGTTCCAGAATTCTACTCATTTCGCATGGGCTAATATGGGAAGAAATTGTCTTAACAGGGAATGATTTAGTTTTGCCCTGGTCCCTTTATGTCTTTAGTTGCTGGAGAATCAATTTTTGAAGAAAAGTAGGCTGGACATTTGCAATAAATGATAACTTACATAACAGATAAACGAGGGAAAGATTCAAGGCTTGAGAAACAAAAGTGTGAGCTGTGGCCAAGAAATAAAAAAATGAAGTTGAATATTTGAGGAACAGCCAGTACATTTGAGTCTGGCAAACCCAAATTTTCCTAATTAGTTGCAGTCATGGAAAAATGATCAATGAGGAGAAGATGGAACGAAAAGCCATACAAATATTACGTGTTTTGGCTCATAGGTTTGTAGCGTGAATTACACACATGGAGAACTTTGCTGAAAACAAGGATGGCCATATACTCCCCCCCACACTTTGTCACGTACAATGAATTGTGTCTAGGACTGTGCAAATATTTGAAAGGGGCAATGGGTTCAAAGAGGCACTTCTTCAAAGAATGGTCATAAAGTGTTTTCAACAGGCAAAGCAGTTTATAGAGGTCAAACAGCATTGCTGCATGAGTTGAAGCACGTCAAGAAAGCAGAGCAACCTCAATTTATACAAGCCTACTTATGCGCCCTTCTTCTAGCAAAAATTGGTTGCATAAACTCAGTGGATCCCCTTCTCTTTTGCCCATCTCTGCCCTCTTGTGCCTTGGCAATAGAATTGCAGGGAAAGACCAGAATCAGAAGGAGCACCCCTTCACTAGCATCTTCCCCAAAGAACCTAAATTGGCTTTCCCCAGGAAGCCAACCCCCAAAAAAGGAGCAACACATTTCTTGGAGAGACCCCAACACTCTTTAATTGAGAAGACGGGAAGGTGAAGCTGCTTCCTTTGAGCTCCTGCTGCCTTTTCAGCCCTGCTGGACAAGGGTTGGGTTGGAGGAGCAGCTGCAGATGAACTGTCTGAATTCTACTGCAAAGCTCCCCTGCCCCTCCCGGGGAAGGCAAAGTCAGCGAGGGATTTGGGATTGCTGGCAATTGAGGCCTGGGAATGATTAAGCATCTGTTGCAAGGGAGGCCATCTGAGAGGCCCGCTCTGGCAGTGCAGACAGGCTCCAGAAACAGGAGGTGTTGGAATTTTTCTGGCACGAGAAAAAAGGCTCATGGAGTCGGCTGTAACCTTGGCGGGGTCTTGATGGAATATAAATTACTGTGCAGTCAATGTGGCTTAAATTAACAGCGGGCCTGTCTTCTAACTCCCTCCCCTTCCTTCCATCTGTAGCCTGCATGAGCAGGATAGAGCCTGGGATTAGGAAAAGCAGCCGCAGAAGAAGACCAGCAGAGGGTTGGAAGATCTTCCCCATCTGTGGGCCAGTCGGGTATCCCAATGGGGACCAAAGGCCTGGCCTATTGTGCATAAGAGCTGTTTTGCAAGATTCCTCCTTTTCAGGAAATCCCTGACGGGAACCTGATTGAATGCCAGATGAATAAAGAGATAATTAGAAGTTATCTTCTGGCTTTTATTTTATTGCATTTTATTTTACTACAGAAAGGGAGGTGAAGATTCCATATGCTGGTGGAGCAATGGCATATTCACCTTTCCCTTCCCTTCCCTTCCCTTCCCTTCCCTTCCCTTTTTGCAATTCCAGAGGGTTTTTTTTCAGAGGTGGGTTTCAGCAGGTTCTGACCAGTTCTGGAGAACCAGTAATAGAAATTTTGAGTAGTTTGGAGAACCAGTAGTAAAAATTCTGACTGGCCCCGTCCCCATCTATTCTCTGCCTCCCAAATCCCAGTTGATCAGGAGGAAATGTGGATTTTGCAGTAACCTTCCCCTGGAGTGGGGTGGGAATGGAGATTTTACAGTATCCTTCCCCTGCCACGCCCACCAAGCCATGCCCACAGAACTGGTAGTAAAAAAAATTGAATTCCACTGGATTTTTTTCCTGGGCAGTAGGAGAGAATCAAGAGTCCAAGAGCTCAGCAAACTTTTTAATTGAACCACTGCATGCCAAAAAGTCCCATTGAGAAAGCCAAATATATTGATCTGCTCTTGTTAGACTTGGTATGCTTCTGCTATGCAACTCATGTCTTTGGGGAAACCTATTTTTTAAAACTAAAATCACAGTTCCCTGTTCTAAGCTTCCAGATGAAAATGTTCTCTCCCCAACTCCAAATCTCCTTGCCCCATTGGAAAAGGGTCTTGGTGCTCATTACAAACATATGATGGGAGAAATATCCCCTCCCCCTTGCTACATCAATCAGCAGCAGAGCTCCAATACTCACACACATACTGTTAGTTTTCAAACAGCTAAGGAATTATGTGCTTGATTTGTGCTAGCTTGTTCTTCAGTTACATCATAAGATACATGAGCTGCTGACCAATGTATTCAAGTGCTCTTTTTTTTGAGGGTGTGCTGGAGGAAATATTATTCTTGGAGGATAGATGGAGAGAACCAGCAATCTGCTTTTCACTTGATTTGCACATTATGCTAAGACAGGATTCTTAACTTGTTCCCCGACCCCTGGAGGGGGCAATGTCATTACAGGGGTCTGCGAAGGCTTGAAGAAATATTATGATTTAAATCTTGACTTAAGTCTTGGGGGCCATAGCCATAAAAGATATTTAAAGGCGGTCTGTGGTGAAGAAAAGATTGAGAATCATTGTACTAAGGTCTTCCTTTCCCTACTTGCTTGAACTGTGAACAGGGACAAGAGAAGAAACTTGCTTTGACAGGTGGTATCCAAGGTGTGGGAGTATCTCTGATCTCCATTTGCTTTTGCTCAATTCATCCAGCTGTTGCTGCTGGCATGGGAAGGAAGTGGCCTCAAAATTCTGCGATCCAGATGTTGAAGCTGCTGAGCCAAGGAGAGCATTCCAGGAGGCAAATAAAATAACTGGCATTTGACATTTTCCTATGTTCTCAGACCTGAGCTGAAGCAATGGAGACTTTCCCCCACATGGTGGAACATTTCCAGTCTTGAACCCTCCCACACCTTATCCCCTACTTTCCAGCCCTCTTATGCCACCCCCACCCCCCAATTCCTTCATTTTCCCTTGGTTGATTCCATAAGTCATTTTTCTGGGATCTATCTAACATCAGCATTTGATTAGATGGATATAAATATGCTTTTCTGGGTCTTCTCGTCTTTGGTGCTAGGTGGCCACGGACTTTGGCTGGCATCACTGCTTATCAATCCTGCCTCCAGTATCCCTTCACTTCTGGGAATGCAGGCTCTGGCCATGAAAAGCAGGCATGGAGACACTGTGACCGCACAGGCCACTGGGAAGAAGAGGACTATTCACACTGCTTGTACACCAATGATATCACCCGTGTACTCTACACCTTTGTGCTGGTGAGTAGGACGATAAGGACTTGTTCCTCTGATTGTCCTTGAGTATTTTGTAGCCGCTGGACAGACTGACTCAGGTGTTGCAGCAAGAAATGATCACAAGCAATGTCCAAGAATTGCTGGTTCATTCCAAGAAAGAGATTGTTTTCTGGAGTGGCTCAAGTAATACAAAACAAAATGATAAAGTGAATGTTTTGAAGCACGTGGAGAACCCTTTTCAGTCCTTGCCATGTATAATGAGAATTTATCCTTAACATACCTGAGATTTAGAGATCCACGTGGTCCATGTCAGCACTGCATTCACCCACTGACTCCTTCCCATGATTTTTTTTACATGTTTAGCAGTACTATTAAGTCACAACCCCTCTACATATTTTCCATATACCTTATTAAAGCCATTCTTTACTAGTCTTTGTTGTACATCCTTCTCTAATATACTGCATTTTATACAATTAGCCCTTGAATTTCATTTTTATATGCAGCATTTCATAAAGTATGTTTTTTTGTAAAATCCAGTTTTCCACATTGTATTATTTTTGGTATGTCTCTTTCTCAATTATCCACCATGCAGTCCTTTATAACTAAGAATGATTACAACAGATGCCATGTCTCCCATTTGTCCATCCATCTATAATAGTGTGGTCCACATAACATCACAGGATGCATAAGCCCCTTTCTTGCAGACCTCCAAGTTATAGTTGACCACAATTGACTGGCCTGGCCTGCTCATCATTGTCACTTCACTCTGACTACATCTTGCACAGGATGGGTGCATTGGCAGATCCCAGTACTTCTCTTAAAAGTGGTGGCTATTTTTTGTCAGAAAACCTAACACTGCAGCTAAACAGGCTTTATCTCTCCATTTTGTAAATTAAGCATTGTCGGATGCATTGGGGATGGGGAAAGGGGGCTTAGACTGCTTTGACATTTATCCCCATTTATCTGCTGACAGATGCCTATCAATGCCTCAAATGCACTAACCTTAGCTCACCAGTTGCGGGTCTACACAGCTGAAGCTGCCAATTTCTCAGATATGATGGATGTCATCTATGTGTCTCAGATGATTGAAAAGTTCACTGGTTATGTAGACCAGATCAAACAGGTAAGCGCATTACATTTGGAGCTGATTTCCATGTGTTCATTTCCCCACATTCATAATGGTGAGGAAAGAAAAGAGGGGTCTACATTCCATTTGTTGCTAAATATCCTCAACATATAGAAAGTCTAAAGTAGAGATGGGCAGTGTGTGGCCACCATCTGATCTTAGAATCTAACTTTCCTAACCAGATGGCCTAACAAGCACATCTTTGATCTGGAGTGAAATGTTCAATGATTTCTTATATCCCAAATTGTTTGCTTTCGCCTAGCTGACCGACGTCATTGTGGAGATGGCAAGTAACATGATGCTGGTAGATGACCATGTTCTGTGGATGGCCCAGATTGAAGACAAAGCTTGTACCAGCATAGTGCACTCCTTGGAGAAGATTGCGACTTATGCTGTCAGCAACAACTCTCAGCATATGGCTGTGGTAGGGATCCAAGCTCTCCTAGTGGGAGGGATGGCAGAGTAAAAAAAGGCTACATTTGAAGATTAGGTGTGGTGTACTGCCAAAAATGCAAATTACAGATATATTATTTTTGAGGGGGGTGGGCATGGAACTAGGAAACAAGAATTAAAAAAAAAACACTGATGAAATAGGAGAATTTTTACACTGTGGGAAGATTTTGAATTGGCTGAGACTGAGATATACAAGGGCCCAATGATATTCTTGGACAGCTGTTGAGACTCAAGCATCTTGACATGTCTTCCTTGCTGATGATTGTCTCCTCTCCTCCTCAGTTCCTTGTCCAGTTCCTCGATGTTCCTATTGCTTTAAACTTTCCATAGTACCTCAGAGGAGCACAACTACAATGTAAATGCTATTAGGAGATTTTAAAGAGGGAGAGGATTTTATGTGGCTGCTTCTATCAGAAAAGCCCATATTCAGGGCAGCAAATATGGGGAAAACATCCCACAAAATTGCCATGGGAAAGGCCATCTGTCCAGGAACTTGGATAGCAGTAAGTTTTAAAGAGCTAGAGACTTCAGATTAGGACAAAAAACTAATGGCTGTTGACCACATATATGATGGCCTGGATCTAGAAAAGTTGCTTGGTTTCACAAAGCTCCTGGCTTTGTTTATGCAGAACTCCAGGAACATCGCCTTTGAAGCCTACCTTATCATGCCAGAAAGTTATCTGGGCATGAGCTGCATGGCTTTTCAGAAGCGTGAGAACCTTGGTAACCGTTCTCCACGACAGGAACGGTATTCTGAATCCTTGGCAGACCAGCAGTTGAAGTTCCGTTGTGCTACAGGCCGGCCAAACATCTCCTTGGCCAGTTTCCACATCAAGGTGAGATGGGATGGGGAAGAAAGGTTTCTGGTGGATGCGCGTAATAGCATAAGGAAAAAGTACTCCTTATCTCTGGCATAGCAATTGGTGATGTGGGGTTTAAATTGAGGAAATAGCAGGAGAACCTACGGTAATTTCATTTCCATATTGCTTTTCCATGTAGGCAAGCATCCCTATATTGCTAGGTTTCTCATATCAGAACATAAGGCATAAGAACCAGAGCAGCCTGGAAAACATTATTGACATATCTGAAATACTCATTGACATATCTCAATCATGATGGAGGAGGAGGAGGTTGTCCTTTATTGGCTGAATGTGATTGGACACACAAGGAGACAAATTCCTTGTGTGTCAAATTGCACTTGGCCAATAAAGAATATTCTTCTATTAACCAGTGATTGAGATATATTGATGGATTGAGATGTCATTAATGTTGCAAGGACAGCTATCAAAAGTTGTATTTCCTAAACAAGCAAGAAGAATGGCACTATCCTGCTTTTGAATCATTCCTTGTCCATGAAAGAAGAGGGAGTCAATCTATTCACCAAAGCACCAGAAGGCAAGACAAGAAGCAATTGTTGGAAAGTAACCAAGGAGAGAAGCAACCTAGAACTAAGAAGAAATTTTCTGACAGCGAGAACAATAAACTGGTGGAATGGCTTGCCTCCAGAAGTTGTGGGTGCTTCATCACTAGAAGATTTTAAGAAGAGATTAGATAGCTCTTTGTCCAGAATGGTATAAGGTCTCCTGCTTGTGCAGGGGGTTGGACTAGAAGACCTCCAAGGTCCCTTTCGACTCTGTTATTCTGTTATTCATTTTCCCTGGGTGTGTTAGTACTTTGACAGTTTGTGTATTCAGCCCTTTTGGGATAGCTGGGAGGAGGGTTAACTATGGGAAGGGTTTGGCTTGGCCAGCCCCATCTTTAGCTTTCTTTGTTCCTCTTCTCATTAGAACAGCATTGCTCTGGCCTCCATTCAGTTGCCTCTGGGCCTCTTCTCCCCATCAGTTCCCCACCAGCCCGTGCCCATCAGGTGTAAGCTTCAGTTCCTGGTGTTCCGCAATGGAAAACTCTTCTGCAGCACTGGAAATTCTTCACACCTCGCTGATGATGGCAAGCGACGCAGCGTAGCCACTCCGGTGATCTATGCAGGCACACGTAAGAGACCCCGGTTGCTGTGGCAGAGAAGGACATTAACCCACTGCAGGAAGAAACTGAGTGGCTGGCAGGTTCATTGGGAAACTTGGGACCATAGCATGGAGATGTTTATAAGAAGAGCTGCTGTGGGATGGATGGCCTGGGAACAAAGCAGCTGGCAGAGTTAGTGGGGCCAGTCTGGGAATTTTTGCCTACTAGAAGGTGAATGTCTATGGAGATTCTCAATCATCCATGTCATGGTTGTCCCAAAGGTGCTTTTCCAAAAGGCAATAATTATAAGCACTCTGTGCTTAATGCTCAGAGCACTGTTAGAGACCCTACACACCCACTTCATGGTCTGTTTTTGTTGCTTCCCTCTGGGAGGAAGTTTCGAAGTATTTCTAGCAGGACTGCTAGATTCTGTAACAGCTTTGTTTCTTATCCCATCCACCTTGTAAATTTGCAGGATTTTTTTTTTTTTTTTGGTCATGTATATGTGTCATATATGTGTGTGTGGGGGGGTATATGCATAATGGTTATCTTTTGAGATTGAGGTTCGCCTGATTCGCCAGTTGCATCCCTTTCTGGATCGGGACTCCTTACGCATGGTCACTCATGCCCTCGTCACCTCCTGCCTGGACTATTGCAATGCTCTCTACATGGGGCTCCCCTTGAGGAGCACCTGGAGGCTCCAACTGGCGCAGAGTGCGGCCGCGCGGGTGGTAATGGGAGCGACATGGCATTCCCATGTAACACCTCTCCTGCGCGAGCTGCACTGGCTCCCGGTGGTCTTCCGGGTGCGCTTCAAGGTTTTGGTTACCACCTTTAGAGCGCTCCATGGCTTAGGACCTGGTTATCTACGGGACCGCCTACTACCACCAATAGCCTCCCACCGGCCGGTACGCTGTCATAGAGAGGGGCTCCTCCGGATGCCGTCAGCCAAACAATGTCGACTGGCAGCCCCTAGGGGGAGAGCCTTCTCTGTGGGGGCACCTACGGTCTGTAATGAGCTCCCCCCTGAGATACGGAGGATCCCGGATCTGTGCACCTTCCACCGTGCTGTGAAGACCTTTTTATTCCATCAGGCGGGCTTGGCCTAATCTTTCCCCTCTTTTTAATATGTAAATTTTAATCTGCTTTTAAATTATTGGGGTGTTTTAATTTGTCTGGGCCAAAATGGTTTAATTCGATTTTATCTGGTTCTTAAATTTTTTGTATCTATGTATTTTATTGTTTAGCTGTTCACCGCCCTGAGTCCTTCGGGAGTAGGGCGGTATACAAATCAAATAAACTAAACTAAACTAAACTAAACTGAATGCAAAAAAAAAAAATCATTTTGATGTATGCTGATTAGGATACATTTAAAGTGACAATAAATTTTCTATTCCATTCCATTCCATTCTAGTCTATTCTCTTGGTTTTTTCCTTGACAACATTTCATTCTTCAGAACTGAAAAAGCTTCTTGGATGAGAAACAAAATGTTTTCAAGGAAAGAAACAAGAAAATCCAGTTGCCTTTTGGGAAAGCAGCTTTGGGACCACCAAAAGGGGGTAGCTGTCTAGACACACTTCCTAATGAAGAACACATAAGCATCATCATTTTTTACTTTTCTAAAATACCCGAAGGCTTATGTGTGACATCCTTGGAAATAAAGTGGATGCTAAAGGCTGGTGCTTTATATTGTTGTTGTTTTTAATCAGAAAACTCAATCTTTATTTGCTTTCCCTTGCTGAGCCGGAGCTCTGTGGAATTTATTTAAGCAACTCTTAAGAGTGTGAGGAAAGCATCCCGATCCTGAAAAAAAGGCAGATGATCTCCTGCCCCCGTTAGGCAAACCCTATCTGAGCGAACAAGCACCTCCTGAAGTTAATTTGAGTTCTGAGCACTTCCATGAACTACTTTGATGAACCCCTGGTTCTGCCTCCCTCAGATGGCTGTGGCGTAAGCAATCTCACTGAGCCAGTCATCATATCGTTGCGGCATTTGGACCAAGGCACAGATCGCACAGCCGCTTTCTGGGACTTTGACATTCTGGGTGGTTATGGCGGCTGGAGAGCAGAAGGTTGCCAGCTGATCCTTCAGGAACCCAACTTCACCACTGTGAGCTGCCGACATCTCAGCAACACTGCTGTGCTGATGGTAGGCGGGAGACGGTGTATGGTACTTTGATCTATTACATTTCTGTTTAGCCCCTGGTTATGTCACATAAATTTCTGCCAAATTCTCTTTCAACAAAGCAAGAAGCACCACTTTCCCTTTTACATGCATTTCTTTAAAATCTTGCGTGCATTTTTCCGCACACTGTACATGCCTAATGGTATGGAGCTTCCTTTGCTCCCAACCTAGGATAGATAACCTTCAGATGTTCTAGTCCAGAGCTCCCAGTTTCTTTTGCTACTTGTCGAAGTGGATAGAGCTAAAAGGAAATGTAGTCCAAATTATTTGGAATATGCTAAGTTGTCTATTCCTGTTTAACCTTCCTACTCCACAGATACTTATAAAGACTTAGTATATATTACTGTTAATATGTACAGTAGTTATAGTAACAGTATTTACTAGAGTTATATTTTGCTTGTCCTTCTGTATCTAAGGGCAGCGCAGTGACTCAATATTTAAGATGCTGGGCTTGTTGGCTAGAATGCCAGGTTCAAGATCTGAGCTCCACATGACAGGGTGAGCTCCTGTCCTCGCCTAGGGGTCCTGCCAACCTAGCAGTTCGAAAGCACACAAATGCAAGTAGATAAATAGGTACCACTTCTGTGGGAAGGTAAAAGTGCTCGTGACATCATGCCAGTCATATGACCGGGAAAATGTCTTCGGACAGCACTGGCTCAATGGCCTTGAAACAGAGATGAGCACCACCCCTCATAGTCAGTATAAGTTTTTTCAGTATCTCAAATTGGTTAAGACACAATTCTCTCAGTTTCCCCCTAATAACAACCATATGAGGTACACTCAAGTGAGACAGAATGAATGGCTACAGTGCATTGGCCACATGACCCCTTTCAACTGCACATGGAATGACTTTTATAGAAGCTGCCTTAATATCTGTCGTCCTCCCATATTATGCCCTAATGAAACGTATTCTCATACAGGAACTGAGCAACTTCCTGCATGACTCACCAAGTCCCGCTGAGGTGCTTCATCCTGTAATTTACAGTTGCACGGCTCTCCTCCTCTTGTGCCTGTTTACCACCATCATTATCTACATCATCAATCACAGGTGAATCACTTTTAGAGTTGAAGTTTCTAGCTTCCTGAAATTCTCCTCCCCACTGCTGAGCAGGTACTTACAGTACCATGCTACCAGAAGAAGCCACATCCCAGGTTTTTCTCGGTAACAACACTAGCCCAATTCTGTATGCTTTGAATAACAGCAGCACCAGGAGAAAGCAAACTCAGGGCTTTCTCATCACCTGCTTATCTTTTAAACGGAGATACCTTTACTTGAATATAGGGTCCTTGCCTGCAAAGCTTTATTGTTTGATCTCTTAACTTTCTTATCCCGGTTTTCTTTTTCAGCACCATTCATATTGCACAGAAGTGCTGGCATATGCTGCTAAACCTTTGTTTTCACATCGCCATGACATCTGCTGTGTTTGCAGGTGGCATCACTCTCACCAACTACATAGCCATCTGCCAAGCTGTGAGTATGAGGGCAGGATCTGATTAATTCGGGCTTGTAGGTTGTGTCAGTTGACACATCACTGAGAGGTTTTCTTCATGCACAAGAAACACTGAGAAGTTGCTAAAATGGCTTCAAGATCACACCTTTGCAATGTGGAACTAGTTCAGCCCTTTCTTCCTTTTTCCAAATCTGTCAACTTCCACATGGGATACACAGAAACGCCCATCACATCAAAATTGCATCACATCACACATACCCCCTGGAATTCCAAGAATTGATAGGTAAACTTCTGCATCCCATTTATCAGTAAATACACTACTCAAAAAAATAAAGGGACACAAGCAGAAGACATCCGAGATCTGAATGAATGAAATAGCCTTATTAAATACTTTGTTCGTTACATACAGTAGTTTTGTGTTCCCTTTAGTTGTTTGAGCAGTGTATAAACTACTGTATGTAAAGAACAAAGTATTTAATAAGGCTATTTCATTCATTCAGATCTCGGATGTCTTCTGCTTGCGTTCCCTTTATTTTTTTGAGCAGTATATATTATTGTAAGGTGTTACAATAAGGTGTTACGTCTATAGAGATTCTCAATTATCCAGGTCATAATTGCCCTAAAGGTGCTTTTTCCAAAAGGCAACTGGACTTTCTTGGTTTTTCTTTGAAAATGTTTTGCTTCTCATCCAAGATGCTTTTTGAAAACATTTTCAAAGGGGGAAAAAAGACAAAGTCCAGTTGCCTTTTGGGAAAAGCCCCTTTGAGACATTACTGTAAGGCCATTTTGATTGTCTTTCTATCTACGGTACCTGTAGATGCAGGGGACATGTTGCCACCTATTTGCCTGGTAAGGAACAAATGAACAGATGTTCCACCCTGAAAACCACCATCTCCATTACCAAACTGTTTCATTCTTAACAGGATCACCTTCTTGAGTGATCAGCCCAAATTTACAAAAGATACATTGCTGGGTAGCTGAGGACACCAATTCAAGGGCAAATCCATGTGCATGCACACATACAGGTCCTTAGCTACTTTGCCATTGAGGCAAAATTGAGAAACTGATGACTCTCTTAAGTTTTTTGAGATTCCAATAGCACTCAAGCAGATGGTCCTAGTTTAAGGAACAACTAAAACTCATCTAAAAGGTTTTTTTGAATTTGCCCACCTTTGAACAATATATCTCCTCAGATTTATAGGGGATAGATAATCCCACAAATGAAGTCCTGGAAGTTGTAGCAACTTTTATTGACTTCCACTATGTCTGTTTTCCACATCTCCTCCCTTCTCCAGGTTGGCATCATTCTCCATTATTCTTCCTTGTCTACTCTTCTGTGGATGGCAATGATGGCACGAGTGATCTACAAGGCATCCGCCTGGAAGGCACCCCAACAGCAGGAAGGGGAACCAACTCAGCCTGCTCCTCGTCCAATGCTACGGTATTAAGGAAGTAGGGATTATAGGACTTGTTATAAGGCACCTGAAGATTGCAGGGACTGGATGTGGTTTGCCATGATTAACCTACAAAAGAAGTCCTATTTAATTAAGATTTCTTTTGTAGGTTAATAGGTATTTATATACCCATTTAACTGGGTATAGTAGATAGTGACCCTGTGTGTGGTGGGAACTTAATCATTGTTTGATTCCTTGCATCAGGTTGTAACGCTGTTGGGGCATCTATTTCTCCTCCACTCCTTTAAAACCTTATAAATCATTCTGAGATTCTGGGCAGGAAATGAGAAAATTAGCACTTAAATGAATAAATGATACAAGAATAAAATTTGCAAAATTTTCTATGATGGTTTCCATACTCAACTCATACCAAAAACACAAAGAAATAGGGCCAATTGAACATGCATGCAAAATGCAAGGAAAGTTATATAGAAACAACAATTGCTTGAATTCAAGATCAATATGCTGTATGAGCCTAATCTATGATTATTGCATCCAGTTTAGGATTTAGTTCTTGTATCTCCAATAGATACCCGACTTGCTCTAATTCATAGGATGAATTCTGCATAGTATTTTCTGGTTTTCTTTCCAGGTTCTACCTGATTGCTGGAGGGATCCCCTTGATCATCTGCGGGATTACAGCAGCAGTTCGTATTGACAATTATGGAGATCAGGACTCGTAGTATGTATTTGCAACATCCAATTTGATCCTAAGGTATCATGATTGTGATCCTACTTGAACATTGATTATGAGTCATCAAGTTGACATTGACTTAATAGCCATAGAGATAAATGATCTTCAGGATGATCCATCCCCAATCTAGTTCTTCAGATCTTCCATCACTGTACCCACGACTACCACAATTGAGTCCATCCACCTTACTGCTGGTCCACTGTATCTACTTGTACATCAGTGGTGGGTTCCTCCCGGTTTGGCCCAGGTCCACCAAGCCGGTAGCGGTGATGATATGATGTCACCGAACCAGTTCTGCCCCCCCCGCCCCACCCACCCACCTCCGTGTTATTCTTACCTTTTATTTGGCCCCACCCCCAATCTATTGCTGCCTCCTGAGTCCCAGCTGATGGCTAGAGGGAAAAAAACTGTTTAAACTCTTGCCGTGGGGCTTCAAAGGGCCGCCCTACAGCTGATCAGTGTTAAAACAAATGAGTAGACCGGTGCCTGCAAAAATAAATGGGTAGACCAGTGCCTGCAAAAATAAATGGGTAAATCGGTAGAGCTCTGCAAGCAGTTAAAAGCCTGGTAGACCAGTACCTCTGCTAAATCCTAAATGATATGACCATCAAGCCACACCCACAAAATAAGCCACGCCCACAGAACCGGTAGTAAAAAAATTTAGAACCCACCCCTGTTGCACATATGTATTCAGTTGCATGAATGGATCCCAAAAACTGGGGGGGGGGATCCTCAGTGTTGTTTTCAAGTGTTTGAAGATCTCTTGGGGATTAAAGATGTTCCTCCTAAATGCCCCCTTCTTTGCCCCATAAATCCTGTCTAATCTTATCCTTCAGGCGCCATCTTACCACATTTCAGAAAGGACAAGCATTAACAAGCATTCTATTCTATAGGTTCTATAGGTTATAGGTGAATAGAGACATTTGGTTTAAGTATTTTTGGCTATGAGCCACCAGTAGATGTCTCCTCTCCTGCATATCTGTAGTTTCCAGAGTCCCCCTTTGGCTGCTTTAAGTCAAGGTAGGCAAGAGATTGTATGGAATGGGACAATTGCTGCGGCCAACTCACTACAGTCAATTTGTTGTGGCCAACTTCCCATGGCCAGCTCATCACAGGACAACTCACCACAGGACAATTCAACAATTCAATTGAATAATTTAAAACAATTAAAACATCATTTTAATTTTTGTCATTCACTTTTCATTATGTCCCTTCTTGGCATCTTTCTTTAATGATTCTATCCCAACATTTCTTCGGTATTAGTATAGCTCTTGTCTTACGATGAGTTGGCCATGGCGAGTTGGCCGCAGTGAGTTGTACTAGACCCGAGATTGTATGTTTTGTCATGAAGAACAGGAGCAAAGTTGTTGCTGCTTTGTTAGCTATTCATAATTTGGCCAACCTTTTCTTTCTCCACCCAGCTGCTGGCTGGCTTGCCGACCAAGCATTGGAGCATTCTATGTGCCTGCAGCTTTCATTTTGCTCATCACCTGGATTTATTTCCTGTGTGCCGGAATCAGTCTGCAGTGCCGAGCTAAGGATCCCAAAGAAATACCAAAACCCTTGGAAACAAGGCAGCGCTTCGGAGGCAGTAGCAACTTGTTAACCGATTCAGGGTCGCTTTCAGTCACCCTGAATTCCAGCCCCCACGCTGGTGATGTTGATGGTGTGTATTCTCTAGGGGTGCAACTCTGGGCCCTTGTCATCACCCATTTCCTATACCTCACTTTATGGACATTTGGAGCAATGGCAGTATCTCAGCGTTGGTTCCTCCTGAAGGTTGTCTTCAGTTGCCTCTATGGAGTCACCGCTGGAGCCTTAGGATTTTTCATCTTTATCTACCACTGTGCCCGACGGAGAGATGTACAGAGTTTATGGTTTACCTGTTGCCCATCTTACAGGAATGCTTTACCTATGCAAGCTTATGGGCACACTGCAGCGGGTGTTGAAGATGGCTCACAGGTCTTCATTGGCTGCAACCCAGAAGTAGCTCAGTCCATTAAGTCTTCATCTTCCCCTACCAGCACAATTTCAACCCCAGGGCCCTGCAAACTCAACAATTTGCAAGTGGCTCTTGCCCAGCCAGACAGTAACCCTGTAACAACTGCCTGCTATGAGGAAGCAGAGCCTTCCAACAGTAAGAGTATCCCCTCAACCAGGTATACGAACAATCTCCATGGGCGCACCAGGCACCATAAAAGCAGAACTAAACTCTATAGAGAAGGGAAGCATCAACGCCTGAAGGCAATGCGGGGACCATCCTCAGAGCATCCTACTAGTGAGAGTGGGAGCCTTCAGAACAGTCATTCAGAAAGTTACCAAAGCAGCCGGAATAGCCCTTTGAACAATCAGAACCAAGGGAAAGTTGTGACTCTGGAATCCACCCTGACGCAGTCGGACTTGAGTGATGGCAGTGGTGGCCCCCAGTCTGCAGATTTTGGGCGAGGCCAGAGGAGAAGCGCCAGCAGAGACAACCTTAAGCATCAGGCCAACCCCTCTGTTGAAAGAGAGACTAAGAGGCGCTCCTTCCCACTCAATGCAGCAAACCAGAATGGGGTCCTGAAGGGCAGCAAGTATGACATTAATCTCAGTGGTGCTGACAATGCAAGCAGCATGAAAACAGGTCTCTGGAAGAGTGAGACAACAGTGTAGGAAAGGGTCAAAGACCTCTGCAGCTGGGATCCTAGAGCAACACCAACTCAGGTAGGAAGCTGCAGGTTATCCTTGTAGCCACAGCCTACCAGACTCAGTGAAGAGAACACGCTTATGCACTACATAGGTTTAGATAATATGAGATGGGTAGGCAAGAACCATGCTCCCCACCGATCCTCCTGAGCAGATGGAGTAGGGAGACTGTTCTGTCCTGTCATGGGAATCACAGCACATTTCACTTATGTATCAGGTGAAGTTGCTGTTCTTCGTGGCAGGGAACATTTTCCTCCAGAGAATGGGCAGAAAGTCACAATCAGCCAAGGTGCCAAAGTTGCAAAGCAAGAGACAATCATCTGTTCTTGTGATTGTATGGTCTCCCTCCTTCATGCCTCTTTATATCCTTGATATTTCTGTACCCCATCCTGAGGAAGACAGTGATCTATAAGCTAAAACTTCTAATACGCTGTGTACATATGTATAGGCAAATTTGCTATCCATTGGAAAGTCTCTACATGCTTTATGCAAAATAACTCATGTTGTGTGACACAAGAGAAGCTCTTCCCAGTCATTCAAAGTTATGCACATATCTAGTTTTGATTTTGATAAATCTAATGAATGATTGTAGAGTTGTCAAGGAAAAAGCCACAAGACAGAAAAAGGTGCACTATTAATTGTCCAAAGGTGCATGCTTAGGTGACAATCCTTAGTCTTCTTTAGGAAGGGACTCGGGGAGAATATGATTTGTTGGGCATCATTGCCCAAAGATGCTTAACAGTAGAGGTATGCGAAACATCAAGAGCTCAGAACAATTGTCAACTTTAGAGTGGCTTGTTCAGATTTTACCAGAATACTGCTCTAGAAGAGTTTTCAATTCAAAAGAGAAGTTTCAAGGTTGAAATACTTCTAGAGCAAATTATTTCAGGTAAGGTTCAGAACAGCTATTCTGAGCTTGACATGTTTTGTATAAAATCTTTTTAGTAGCACTTTCAAGCAAAAGCTATCAACAAGTCCACCTTCCAAGTTACCTGCTATGGAACTGAATTGGAATTCAGTTTGGGTTCTCATTGCTAAGGCTCTTGGTGCACATTTGCCACACAGCTGCTAAACAGGCCTGAAGGCTTACTTCCAACTTTGAATGTTAGGCGGGGAACAGACTGAACAAAAACTAGGACAGTTCTATCCTTTTCTGTGATTCCAAGTCGAGTCACTCCTCACATTCAAAGTTGGAAGTAAGCCTTGAGGCCTGTTTAACAGCTGTGTGGAAAATATGCCCCATGAAGCCTCATTAAAGGCAGGACGCAGCTAACATGCCACATAGAAGCCTCTGAAATAAATGAAGCTGCTGCACTGTTTAACTAGTAAGTTTGATCCACTGAAAAAAGTGAAACACAATTTTATTGTTCTTATCTAGGGATAAGCAAAGCCCAGCGCTTACAAGAGTGGGATGTTTTAATTACCTAATAAATTAAAAATGGCAACAAATTTATAATGGGCAGTTATAAAAACGGCAGAGGACAGCCCTGCATCTTAGCACATGGATTTCCTCTCCTATAAAAGAGATTTTCCTCTGTCTAAAAGCAAAGCAGTGTGCTTCTTGCTTCAGAAATAGTTTTTTCCCCATGTGCATATCAATCATTTATTAAAGCTGATTATGTTTAGTTAACCATATTTTTTAAAGAAAGCCCATAACCCCTCACTATATGAAGGAAAGCATGTGCATCAGCAAACAGGAAAAAAAGAATGAGAAAAAGAAGTTTAGAATAGAATTAAAATTGCCAAGAAAAAAGCCTTAATCCTTTAAGGATTTGGGAAGCTACGAAATATTGTTTTTAAGCACCTTGGGGACATTCCCTTTATCTTTATGTATATGTGACATAACTTTAAAAAAACCAAGGCCTCTTTGCAATACAGTAACCGTTTCACAGAATTGTGTAGCAATCCCCAGATTGAATCTGTTGTGTCAAAAATCAGCTGAATGAAGGTATTGTGATTCTTTCTTGAAGGCAGTTTCCAGAAATATTGGAAAGGATCAAGCTTATTATTCTGTTTGCTGGCATTTTAATTACTCTGCACCCAATAGTATAGGGACACTGCTTACATACCATATGCCACAGTCAAGAATAAATCCCTCCTGTAGATATGAAAAATTCAATTGAAGAGAACTCCCCCCCTCCCCCCCCGAATATCCTTGTTGGATTGATGACAGTTCCAAGTATGTAGCTCTGCATCTCTAATGTTACCAGTTGAGGAAAGATCAGAAGATGCCACAAATGATTCTTCTAGGAATCTCCTATTTCCTTCAGGAACCTCAACATGGGATTCATTGCACTGATGTGCCTATAGACATGTTCCACAATAATTTCAAGATTTCCTATTCTGTTTTTTAAAATCAAAGCAATACTTTAAATAGAAAGTTGGTAAGCTGTGGGAAAAGCTGCCAGCTTCTGTCATGTTCTTTATGTCCAGAAGTGCCTCTGTTGGCCAGGCAGGGTCCTCATAGAAGTGGCAGTGTTTTGCTGTTGAAAATGTGACCATGTTCTTAGAACAAAAGATGAGCTAATAGCTAATATTAATAGGGTAGTAAAGAGCATCGTTGCTCATTTTCTTTCTGGTAAAGGGGAGTTTCAAACTGGCCCAACCGTCACAGCAGTCCTTCTGAGAATTCACAAATGGGCCTGACAGACATTTTGTGAAGTTGTCATATTTCTAGCATTTCAAAGGTTGCAACCATTCAAAGTTACAACAGCAGTGAGAAAAGTAAATTATGACCAATCTTCACCCTCACAAACATCACACATCCCCATGGTCATATGGGCAAAATGAGCTTGAAAACTGGGATATGTTTACGATGGTTGTAGCATCCCAGGGTCATGTCTATGGAGATTCTCAGTATTCAAGGTCATGGTTGTCCCAAAGGTGCTTTTTCAAGAGGCAACTACGGTAAACTTTCTGTGGTTTTCTTTGAAGATGTTTTGCTTCTCATCCAAGAAGCTTCTTCTTCAAAGAAACACCAGAAAGTCCAGTTGCCTCTTAAAAAGGGACCTTTGGGAGCCCAGAGTCATATGATTGCCATTTGTAACCTTCCTAGCCAGGTTCCGACAAACAAAGTCAATGAGAGAAGTTGGATTCTCTTAAAAACTGTGTGGTTCATTCAGCTGCAATGATTTACTTAACAATCAGGGCAACAAAGCTCATAAAATCAGGCATGATTCACTTAGCAACAGAAATTCTGGTCCCAATTGAGATTATAAATTAAGGACGACCCTGTACCCTTTTCTCTGGAGGAACTGGTGAACATACAAAGTGATAACAGTGCAGACTAAGAAATCTTTTCTTCCGCGGAAGCTGTGCTATCCTCTTTCGTTTCTGGCTTAAAATAAGTCTACAGAAAGATGATTCTGCTTTGAGATTCCTTTAGTTGAACCACAGTGTTTCTAGAGGGTATTAGGCCAGGAAAGGCCAAATTAATTTTTCTTTCCCCAATCTATTTGGTCTTAAACATCCAAATCTTAATAACAACAAAAATATCTTTTGCGCCCTCCTTCTGTATTTTTTTTTAATTTCCCAAATATATTAGGATGCATACTACATTAACATTGATTCGGTTAGATTATTTTCTTATTGCTAATGTATTGCAAAATCCAGAAAATCTGTTACTTCAGTTATGAGGTTAAGTATGGTGTGTGAATATGACAATCAAGCAAACCTTCCCACATAAGTAGTTGGTGCCTTTTTAAAAAAAAAATAGTTCTAAAGTACAGATACTTGTTCTTGATGGCATGAACCTCATAAATAGGGTTTGGCCTATGAAATGGGGCATATATCATATTTGTTTATACAATGCACTCAGCGGAGGCTTTTTTTATTCATGCCAAAACGATAACATTAGTTCATTGGAACTGAAAGGAACAACAACAAAGAGATTGTTGATGAACAGCTGAACTTCCAAGTATTTGGAAGAATGCATGTAACCCAACTGGGGTAAAAAGGGGAGAGAAATGCATGTTGCTCATTTAAAATCAACCCTTCAGAGTACATTATGCAATTATCTCATGTACTAGCCAACAAAATAGCAAGGAACATTTTGTGGACAATCAAAAGCAAAAGGCTGGGATCTTACAAGTACCGCACCCATGTTTACGAAGGATGTAGCAAGGTAATGGGCTACAATTTTTTGCTAGGTCTGAGGGAAAGTCTTGGCTTAAATCCCTTAGTTCTTTAGGATCATTGCTGCCTTTTGTTTACAGAGACAGACGTAATTAACTTTTGCATTGGATTTATGAATTAAGATTACACCTGTAGGAGGCTGCTGTTTAGAACAGAATATTGGAGAAATGCAAAATTTCTTACTTAAAGGAGAGAGTCCAGCAAGACCAAGGTCACAGCACTCAATATTCCTTGGAGTTTTTCCATTCCAGTGGAAAATCTTTGGCCAGGATTCTTGCAATTCCCAGAAACTTCCCTTGCAACAATCGTAGTATTGACTTAGTATTATTTCCAGGATTGACGTAAATTATCAACAGTGGTATTCTCTGCTGAGAATACCCAAAGGGCAGCGCTTGTAAAGCATTTTCATCCAAGATGGAAAAATTTCCTTCAGTCGTTCTATGCAAAAAATACCACAAATCTCTTCTTTGTCCATGTGTGTGTCTATGTGTTGATTTTATTTTTACTGCTCCATAATCCTTAATTAACTCATTTAAACTGATGTATACCATGCCTGTTTAAAACGATAGAGAAACTCTTCACTCTGTATAGAGGGCAGAAGGGTCAGGTTTTCACAGCCCTCCTTGCCAGAAAAGAGAAAACCTACTCCACAAAACCTACCTCCACAGAACCGCAGAGGCTGTGTGGTTTCACAAGCCAGTCAGCCTTAGGCCAACCTTGAAATTTCCTAAGACTTCTGGAAAGCAATAGCCATGAAAAGCCATAAAAGCACTTAATCCTCATTTGAAAAAGGTCATTTCTCTCAACCACCTTGGTTTTCATATGTATGATGTTTAATAGAGCCTTAACTATTTTATATGGCAATATTACAACCACATGATATTGGCAATGCTGAACTTGTTATATATGCTTGCTAGAATGAAATATTATTATTGGGGAAAACTCTGTATAACTACTTCTTTTGTTGGTTTACATTTTGAGCAAATGACATATCAAAACAGAGCTCTTTGAGAGACAGCTGTGCCAAAGAAAACATTTAATACATTTTTGTTGTGTTTGCATTTTATACAAATGAACTGTTTTTAGCAGATGTTTCTTGTTTAATATATTAAAAGAACTGCAATATCCAATGAACTAGGTATTGCTTTTATGTTCCACCCATGCTTTGCCATCCAAACCTACACATTTTTAATATTTCAAACTTGTATACTGATTCCAAGCAGTGGGACTCATTTACTCAACACTTAAAAGATCTGTGGGAGGTGAAGAGCTATTCAAGCAACTACACTGGTCATCTCTGGGAATAGGAGGCAAATCTCCTGCACACTCTTAATGGTTTTCTCCCACATACCGTTTCCCTGAAAATAAGACCCAACTGGAAAATAAGTCCTAGCATGATTTTTCAGGATGCTCGTAATATAAGCCCTACCCCCAAATAAGCCCAAGTTAAGATTGTCATCCAGATGGATGCACTTAGTACCGTATTTCCTCAAAAATAAGCCCTAACCAGAAAATAAGCCTTAATACATCTTTTGGAGCAAAAATTAATATAAGACCCAGTCTTATTTTTAGGGAAACACGGTACCTATTCATGAGGGCTGGCAAAGTCCAACTTGTGCACCCATTCAAAAGGTGTTTATCATCCCAACTGGGCCAATTCATCTCAAATCTTTCTATTGCAGCTTTTTAATATATATATAGCTGACATCAAACACAAAAGGTTATAGGTACTAATAATAAGGGGGAAAAACAGAAGCTGAAGAGTGGAGTTTCACTCATAAGATTTAAAGGGATATGCTAATTTCAACCCATTTATACATAGGATAATTAGCTTATTTGCATGACATCATGGCATGCACCATCATATTTATTCCTCTTGCCCCACCCTTACAGATAAACAGGTATGTGGATCACAATATGCCCTGTTCTACACTACTTATGTCACTTTCAACCTCAGTTAATGACTGCAGAGCCTAAGTCCACTTAACCCATTGAATGCTAAATGAATGTTTACCTTCAGCGTTACCAGACTCGCATGGGAAACTTCTAAAATAACATGCAAAGCAATGTTTGAACTGGAAAGAAGGATAATCTAATTCAAAACATAACAAGCAAAATAAACCAGGAGTGTATCTGATGCAGATCATTAAACTTCAATGTAGTACGATTAAATCCAATTTTTTATAATGTTCAGGACTAAAAATTTAGCAGAAGCACATTAGTGTGTTCACCAACACATATCTAGGCCAAAGAACAGCCTTTTAAGAAAATTATTACAGTAATTACGTTTCGTCCAAATCTAGCAAAAAAAAATTAAAGCTCATGGTCTATCGCTGCTTTCCCCAATCTTTATTATAACCTTCCATACTTGTTCGTACTGTGAATCCAGAAACCCCAACTAATGCATACAAAGCAACAGGCTGCAGAAGACTATTAAGATACAAGGTTGTTCGTTCCTGAACACAAGGACTTCATCTAATCTCAGGACAGAAATACATCTGGGACCACAGATTATAAATATAAGAAACCCAACCCCTGTCGCCATTGACTGCAGGCTTTTAACACTCACTAAATACTTTCACTAGTACAGGCGAACTTGCATTTTGCTAAACAGTTCTGTTTCTTCTGGAGTCCGGATGTATTGTTCAATCTCACTGTCTAAAATGGGCTCGTTCCCTGTGATGGCTGGGCCTTCAGGGTCTGGATTGCTGGTTCGAGGCTTCTTTGTTGGGTACAGGATACAAGGTGGAAGCAAAGGCACCCGCTTCTTCCCAGCAACAGAAGCCTCTTCTGTCAAAGCAACAGTTGGTTTTATAAGCTGATGGTCTGGCAGTGCTGTGAAGTTCTCAGGCTCGTGGTCTTCTGTGGTATCCACCATACGGAAAGCAGCCCGTAGAAGCACACGGCGATGTTGCAGCAAGTCTCCAACATATTTCGACACAGTCCTCCGGTCCACTTTGAGCCCTCGCAACCAACCTAGTTGAGAGGCCATCTGAAGGAGGATATTATGCAATTCCTTCAGTCTTTGTGGGGCTGGCCGGGGCATGTCCATGCCAGCAAGCTTACAGAACTTTGTAAGGGTGCAAGTGAGGCGATCAACAGGTCGCAAAGACTGCCATGCCAAGAAGGCTGCTGCCACCACAATGGGGATGGGGTGCCGACCAGTCACCAGCCACGTCTCACTGGCAAGCTCCACTATCTGGATTGTCCTTGCCAACAGCTTCTCCTTGTCTTCCAGAAATTTGGCTGGGATGCTGGACGATTCCTGGAAAAGCTTAAAGCTGAAAGGAACAAAATATATTGGGGGTATGGAAAAGCCTATCAATACAGCTCATGTTTTTGCTTTAATTTTATAGTTCTGGAAATATTACTGGCAATATTTAAATTTATATAATCTGAGGAAATTATTTTTAAAAACATCTGATTAAATAAATCAAGACTTTGCCTGCTAATGCTCCGTCATCAGAGATTTTATGGTATCAGTTCCTTCCTTACAGGTAGGTGTGTTTTTAAAGTAAGAATTAGAATAGAAGGGGAGGGGAGGGGAGGGGAGGGGGGAGGAGAGGAGAGGAGCGGAGAAGAGAAAAGAGAAAAGAGAAGAGAGAAGAGAGAAGAACAGAGTTGGAAGGGACCTTGGAGGTCTTCTAGAGCTAGTCCAAACCCCTGCTCAGACAGGAAACCCTATTTCAGACAAATAGTGGTCCAATCTCTTCTTAGAAACTTCCAGTGTTGGAGCATTCATAATTTCTGGAGGCAAGTTATTCCAAGAATGTCATTCCCATTTTAAATATTATTTAGATCACTGCTACATCTGCTTTACTATTTTAATTCTTGGGATCATTGTTTAGAAAGCAATAAATATTTGGATGTGCCTGTCTAGATCTCACCATTCCATGCTTCCTGCTCAGAATATAACACACAGCCCATCCAGAAAAGTCAATTCAAAATAAAATGTTCACTTCAAATATACATCCTGAGCTCATATACATGTCTCTGAAGACTCCTTAATAAACTTTCTTCTTTCTATTTCCCACCCAAATAATAAAAATTCACCCAAATCAGACATATGAGATTGCATTCAAAAATGCACAAGACAATTAAAAGCTGAAGTTTGTCAGAAGATTAACTATTAGTAACTTTCTGAAACCTACATTTGAATCTTATATTAGAAATAACAAAACCACCCATATGTAATACATTTTCAGAAAGCAGATTGGTTTAGGACAGAGGTATCAAACGCAAGACCCACGGGCCGAATCCGGCCTGTAGGGTGCTTAGATCTGGCCCGTGGGGCTGCCCTGGAAACAGTGAAGGACTGGCCCATCGTGCCCCTGCCAGTGAAAGCTCCATTTTTGCTGGCAGAGGGTTGCAGGAGGCCATCACAGCCTAAAACGGAGCTCGGGAGCCCATTTTTGCTGGCAGAGCACTCAGGCCACCACAGGCGCCCCCAACACAAGTGACATTGAGTTGGCCACGCCCCCCCTAGCCCCTCCCCGAGGTCAAACACAACCCCGATGGGGCCCTCAATGAAATTGAATTTGACACCCCTGGTTTAGGAGAACTCTCAGACCTGCCTCCGCTTGAACCTACAATAACTACTGTAATGGACTTGATTTCTAGTAAATTATACCTTTCTCAATAAATGGAGTTAAGGATCGTTCTTACTGAGAGGTTCAAGCTGAGGCAGTTCTGACAAGAACATCTAAATACTCCAAAAGTGGACCTCCACCTCCAAAGTATGAGAAAACATCCAAGTTCACTAGAAACATTTCTGAGCAAGCATCAACCACACTCAGCTTTATCTAGTTTCATCAAAGTGGCTACACTACACATCCAATCTATAGAGCTTTCCTAGAACCAATATACTGAAGCTTAAATAATAAGAATTAATTCCATCCGTAACTCTTCAACAAGTGCACATTAATGGTTCAGATGTTTATGAGAAAAGAGTATTAAAAATATCTTACCTGTTGAGGTGTGTTTTCACAAGATCGATCAAGCTCAGAGTTGGTACATCTAGTGTCAATTCCTTCAAGAACTGCAGGTAGGTTTTGGCAAACAATTCCTTGTCTGCATAAAGGAGCAAGCAGACAGTGCCCATTGTCAAGGGCCAGTTGTGCTGTCTACAGGTCACAAAAACACAGCAACCTATAATTATCTCCTTCTTCTCTAAGCTGACCAAAGCAAAGCAGGGGCATTTGATTGCCTTCTGGTAATAAGACATAGCTGTATCTTCAAACAGAGAAGGAAGTCGGAGAACTTTGCAGAGATCCTGAACACGTCTGATTCCTGTGGAAGAAGGCAATGTAGATAATTTTTAAAAATGCCCATAGCAAGGCCCTCCAGATATTTCTGGCAATACTGGCTAGGACTGTAGTCTGTGAAAAACTATTTGACACCAACTTCTTGCTTCAGAAAATCTGTACTGGACAAATATCACTATTCTGTTCTAATGGCATTACTGCATGTGAGGTTTTAAGAAGGACAGCAAGATTTTTTTTCAATTCCCATTTCGAATTATAGAATTCACAAATATTTGCTGTTAGCAATCTTCTGGAATGGAGCAATATATTGGGGTTGGAGACAGATAGCAGAATCAATATAAGGAGAAACTCAAGGTATTTGCAAAGCAGAATGGGTATGTATACACACACAGCCATGTACTAATTTAAATGTTTTTTGTTTTAAGATGGATGTCTGTTCTTCGCATAAGAACATAAGAAATCAAAACCAAGACAGCTTATTTGGTCAACTGGATAAAAATATAAGGCACATTAGACAAAACAAATTAGTATGTTTTATGTAAAACGTGTGTAAAAAAATCACTGGATGTCTCCCCTCAATATTTATCTGTGGCCTTTTATTCTGTGGGTGTATTGTATAGATAGTCCTCAATATGCAACCCGGTCACTTCATGACTGTTCAAAGTTGTAATGGACCCCACAAAAAGTACTTATGACCTGTTTTCTAAGTTATGACAGGCATATAGACTCACGTGATGACTTGATCACAATTTGGACACTTGGCAATTGGCTCACTTTTATGGCTGTTTGCAGCATCCCATCATCACATGATCATGACTAGCGACATTTTTTGCCAGTTACCAGTGTTCTGGTTTCTGGCAAAAAAAATGCCCATTGGAGAAAATTGATTCACTTAATGATCATCACGTTCGTTTAACAAGTGTCACATTTACTTAATGACTACTGATTTTTTTTTTAAAAAAATTGAGTCTGTTCGTGCTTTGACTTATGGCTGCAAAGTATGGCTTACAACCATACTTCTGGACTCAAACTACAAATATAATGGTATACCTCTATGTAGTACTTGTATGTATTGTGGGTGGGTAGGTGCATACAGGTAGTCTTCAACTTACAAGTGTTTGTTTAGTGACCGTTTGAAGTTACAATGGCACTGAAAAAAATGACATGACCATTTTTCACACTTATGACTGTTGCAGCATCCTCATGGTCAAATGATTTACATTCAGATGCTTGACAAGTGGTTCATATTTATGACGGCTGCAGTGTCCCAAGGTCATGTGATCATCTTTTGTGAAGTTCTGTCAAGAAAAGTTAATGGGGAAGCCGGATTCACTTAACCATGTTACTAATTAAACAATTGCATTAATGTAGCAAGTAAAGTCGTAAAATGGGACATAACTCACTTAACAAATTTTTCACTTAGCAACAGAAATTCTGGGCTCAACTGTGGTCATAAACTGAGGACTATCTGAATATTAGCCCTGCTGCAGTAATGAGTTTCGCTTTTTTATATAGACTATTTTATAACTTTATAATTTTATAGAGACCATTTAAAGCGTATCTATCTGGCAAAAGCCTGGTACCAGCTAAAAATTATCTACCAGGGATTTAATGAGCTCTTCTAAAAATCTGAAATGGGAAATCACCCTGCCCTTAACAAAGGATACAGGTAATTTAAAATACAGAATGGTTTTGCTTTTAGAGAGGAAATACTCCATCACAAATGGGAAGTACAGTAATTTCTATAATGCACCAAAAGGTGCTGACTGGTAATATTAAACATTTACCTCGCTGTAAGCAGCGGCTCAGCTGTTCACTTTGTCCAGTACTTCGTGAATATGTCACTTCTATAAAGACAAAAATAAATTAGAAGGGAAAAATGACAAAAAGAACATCACATTTCCCCAAACAACTTTTTAAAACTCATACATTTTTAATGTTCAATGTTTAAATGTTTGAAGTTTATATAAAAGGCCACAGGGGATGTTTTCATCTATATAGATCACAGGTATCCAAAATATACTTAAACTTTATGATCCCAGGAGTTTTTAGTTCCATTGTTATTCTTTGATTCACCTTGTAAATGTTCCTCATCAGCATACGTAGTGGTGAGAAGTCCTTCAGTTAGAATAAAGCCACAATCTGCACACACCAACTGGTTCTGAGTGTAGTGAGAATCTTCCACAATTTCCAGGGAGCCACAATCTGGACACTTCTTTTGAGTGGACATTTTAGTAGCCTGACAACAGAATTATTTTAAGCTGACAATTGAAAAAATATTGGAATTTGATTAACATGTTTGCTGCATAATTTTTCCCATATTCCACACCCATAAAACTGCCTCCATCTACCTGTCTAATTTATATATTTGAATTAATCTTAAGAAATTAACTTACTAGTTAGGAAAAAGTAAGTTTGACCAATGTGATGGGCATATTTCAAAATACAATCAGATATTGTTATTTTAGCAAACATATTAATATCAGTGCTCAATCATTCTGTTAACTTTAATTCTTGCAATGCATTGTATGCTTCTCAGCAAGCTGCATCATTCATGAGTTTTCTGCATCAATTCAGCAAATGCACATAGGTAGGTAGCATCAATCTAATCCCAGCAAGGATATCTTCTAATGCATTCATGATCTATAGGCATAACATCACTAGAATTCAGAATAATAGGGATGGAAAGGACCTTTAACATCTTCCAATCCAAACACCTGCTCAAGCAGGAAACTATACCATTCCGGACAAAGGGCTGTCCAATCTCTTATTTCAAATGTCTACTCTCCAATTTCTGTGTCCGGTAAAACAGAATAACAGAGATGGAAGGGACCTTGGATGTCTTCTAGTCTGCTCTGGCAGGAAACCCTATACCATTTCAAACAAATGGTTGTCCAATCTCTTCTTTAAAAACTTCCAAGCTTGGAGTGTTCACAATTTCTGGAGGCAAGACATTCCACTAACTAATTGTTCTAACTGTCAGGAAGTTTCTCCTTAGAAATTTAAAAACGTTTTGTTTATGAGATTTTATTGCTAGTCGCGGGCAAAGAGGAAACCCAGGCCACAGAGTCAGAGGACCTAAGTGGCCTAAAACCTTTTGCAATCGAAACAAAAACCGCCACAGCCACAAAGAGAGATTGCTGGGGCTGCCTAGGGATCGTGAGACGCCAGGTCCGCATTGTGCATACTGATCTATGGTTTTTAATTAAGGCAGAGCCCACCAAGATACTTGTTCGAAGACCTACATAGTGCGACATGCCCCCCCCCACCCTTCATAACTCATCTGGTCCCGGGAACGGTGGGGATTAAGGGAGTTGGGAGTCCTCACTCCGACCGCAGCTGGACGGGGAAGACCGACCTATAGCAGCTGCTGTAGGGCATTCGCGTACCTTATTGCGAGTCAGAGGACGAGGGGGGCTATCCTCCCACAGCTGTATGTAGCAGTATGCCGGAAAGAAACAGCTTCACTCCATTTTATTTAACTCGGATCAAACCGGAAACAGGCCCGCTGGGGGGACTTTTCCCTGGAACACATGCATTTTCCGGTGCACGATTACGGTATCCCGTCAGCAACGAATTCCATCATCGCTCAATGTTTCCGAAGAGAAACAAAGAATGAAGGAAAAGAGTTCCGGGTAAGTGCTGAAGGAGTTGTTTGCTTATTTTCTGTTTCTAGAGACAATTTCGAGGAAAACTCTGGAGACCTGTTAGGTCTTTTGTTCGAAGTGAAGGATGCCTGGTGGACAGGAGCGCATCGTTATCATCATCATCAGCTTATTTTATTATTATTTCTTTTCAGAAGTGGGACTTTTTTTTCTTCCGTTGGGATCCGTTCTATGCCAGGAGCTGAGATATTATGCAGTTGGGCGTCCGAAACTTACATAAGTAATTGGATATCTATTATGACAATAATCAATAGTGTCATCCTTATAACTCAGTTGCACCTTCCTCATTACCCATTCTTTATAAATGTTTTCTTCTGAAAACAAAATATTTCATTGGGTCAGTAGGTAAAAGAGGCTAACTGGATTTTTGCCATATTCAAGGTAAACAAAAATTTAAACCTGAATTAGGTTTAAGCCAAGAGTAACCTTGGCTAAATATGGTTGACTAGTCTCTAGCTCAATGCAATGTAGTTAGGACTACTGCCAACTGAACTGAATTATACTAGTTCAATATAGCAAAGTAAACCAGAAAACTGGGTTAATTTGTTAAACCAGGTTAAGTTACTGTGGCATCAACCAATTGTGCTAATACAGCCATGCAGGTAAATGTTCTGGATTATACATGTATTAGGCATAGTTGGTTTCAAGGTATGGCTGCAGTTACCCTAAGGAGATTTCTTATGTCAATTAAACTCTCTGTAAAGAGCAGAAAGTGCTAGTAAAATTGCGGTCATGTCAATTGTATTGCTGTTGACTGAAAAACTGGCTAGATATTTAGCACCTCAGGACTGTGCTTTGGATTCTTGATATTGTAATGCATTACAGGAACTGGATAGCTGTAACAAATCATTCAACAAAACAAATCCAAAAAGTCCTTATGGAAAAACTGTTAATTAAATAGAGACATCCTTGAACTAAATGTAGGTCCTGAGAATTGCATGTTTTAGCATTAAAATGGTAAGTGGTTTGCTATTGCATTTTTACTGGGACTTTTTTTCAAATTAGCTTAAGCCTTAGAATTATAAGTAATTATGTATTAATCACTTGGCAACTGAAATGGAACTTGGGATATTCTGTTTATATGTTACCCAGAAGCCCCAGGCATTTATTTGATATTCCTCATGGCATTGCCAGAAGATAAAACTTGAGTTTCCAATCCACAGCCATTAATCTCACAGAAAAGGGGACCATAGAATCCCATTTAGGAAACAAAATGATCAAAAGCTGAATTTTCATGTGCAAAGTACAAACTTTAAAATGCATTGTATAACCTTAAGTATGTGTGTGGGGGGGGATTGTTTTGTTGCCTTTGAGTCAATGTTGACTCTTGGCCATGCACCGACTAATGTTGCAGTTTTCTTACTGATATTTTTTTGTAAGTGTCATTGCCTAGGGCTGGGTGCATGTGACTGGCCTATGGTCACCTAGCTAGCTTTGTTCCTGTGATGAGAGTAGAACTCCTGGTTTCTAGCCTCTAGTCTTAACCCCTGTAGCACAACAAATTGGCTAATGGTGCATAGTAGTCTAGAAATGTATGAAAGATTAACACGCCAACTTCTGATTACACTGACAGTTAACGTTAAATAAATCTGATTTGAGCAAAGCATAGATTTATTTTTCCAAGTCTTACTATAATAGGGACAAAACTGTAGAAGGGCCAGAAGTAGTATGCAAGCAATAACTAAAGTATTATCTTATGTCTTAATGCACTCAACTCCATAAAATCCACAATAAATGCTTAGTTTATTTTAAAATATGTATGTCAACCTTTGGAATGCAGACAACAGTTCAGCCAGATCTTTTGTAAGTTGTAAAAATGAAGCAACAGTGTTGCTATCTTTGGAAAAGCAAATTATCATGTGAAATGTTTATTAAATGGTGTCATAGTACTAAAACAAATATTTCCCCTGTAATTCAAGGAATACTGTTTGCTCAGATAATCCGGTTCCTTCCTGTGCAATGACTTAGCATTACAATTACTTTCCAAATTGGGCTCAGCCTATTCTAGCAGGAATGCTTTACAGCGAAGGACCAAGTTTTGATACTGCAATGCAGGATTATTATTATATTTTTAAAAAGCATATTTATCAGGATGTTGCCAATTTTAACTATAGGATTTTTTAAAAAACGGGAACTACTTTTCATACTATCATTTAGAACTAGCCATGTTGTCAAATTGTAAAAAAATCTCAAAAAAAATAAATTCCTAAAACCTTTGACTTTCTTCAAATCCAACTGTTCCATTAACAGTAGATTATTAAAATAATAGAATTTGAAATATGCATGTAAAATAGCCTGAAGTTTCAGTCTCACCAAATATGTAAAAGCAGAGGAAATTAGAAAAAGAAATGTTCTCAGTATCATCAAATCAGGATGATTTTGATCATCCACATCCATAATCTTATTTTCTACAATTTCTATATTAGGTTTGTACTGTGGATAAGAGATGTCACTGGTTGTTAAAATATTGGTATGAAATACAGGATTAGGCTGAATTTACATCCTATTAAAATCAGCCACAACCTAAAACTTCATTCCTATTTTGATGTGTGTGTGTGTGCATACTATTCCCTTTCAGGCAGGGAATATTTTACAAAATGCAAAAAAAAGACATTTAAGGACATTGTTCAGCATTTGCACATCAGCATATAAAAGTAGAGATATTTATGCCCCGATCATCAAAATTCTAAATTCCCAACAAACTTTTACTATATTCAAAAATGCATTGAAAATGAAAGACACAGTACATTTTACTCCCTGCTTAGTGATGAACCATTAGTTAAGTATTCTATATACTTTCACACATGCTCTGCTTCCCTCATTTGCTAATCTTTATCACATTCATAGAACTGCCTTCATAAACACTTCTATCAAACATATGAAGAAAATTATGTTTAAACGATGGATTGGATACATGCTTTCTAAGCAGATATTCACTAAACAGTCAATGTGCTTATTCATTCTTGGGTCTATCAGTGCGTAAAATATATAACGAAGGACACACATTTGTTTAACTTTAAATAACTTTATTTTAACATTTCATAAGGCTGAAGGTTTTTGTATAAAAACCATCAGGCAATGTACCAACTGTAACAAAGCATAAACATACATTTAAATCCTTCTATGTTAAATATACAGAGGGACACAAACTATTCATTGCATAACCATTTTATTAAAACTTAAGAATTTACATGAACTGATTATATTTAAATCGTTCAGTAAAATACTGATTTTAAGGCACTATTATTTCTACATTATATATTGAGTGATATATAAGGCATGAAGACAAAGTTAGCAACAACTGGGCCCAGATGTAACTCCTTCATACTAGGTTACACAATATGTGAAACTGCCCGGCTTAAAACCCATTAAATACATACAGTTATGACTTAAAACTATCCCCAATTTAGTGTTCTTTGTGTGTGTTGAGATCAACTTTGTACAAAAGTTTATTATGGAACATTCTAAACACAAAATGGACCTTTCCAATTATTGGAACTGCAGACAGCCTGTTTCAGGTTGGAAAATTTAGCAAGCTCCTGAAATTGCAATTCCCATAATTTTCAACAATGACCATTAACTATGCTATCTTACTGGAATTTATATTAAAATTCACTGTTTTAAGGATTCTAAATTTGGATTTTCTCAATCTGCTCAAAATTTGTCCAGCACGAATTTTGTTTCTTTTTTGTTTGTTTTGATACCTGCCATTTTATTAGCGGGCATGTTTAGAATATATTCCAGTCTATTTCAGAAATTTATTCCTAGGGAACATGGTGTTAAAGCAGCTATTTGATATTCTGGAATCAGACACAGAATACAAATTTCTGCATGCCTTTCATAAAAGCATATTGTATTATGCTACAACCAGCAGAGGGAAATAGCCAGACTTTAAAACACCCTCCAAATTTTTTCTTCTACCTATAAAATATGTACTGTTATACATTTCAGTACCAGCAATTTCACAATATCATACTGCCTTCAATATGCCAAATCACTGCTCTTTTCTGTGGAAAAATCCAAAATGCTGCTTCTAACTCTACCAAACAAATGAGGCAAAAAGAAACTTTTTATAGTTCCTCAGAATTAGAATTATACTGCATAGGAAGAGGCAGACATATCTATTCAACAAATTTCACACTCAGTTTATGGCAACAACAGAGTATGATCTCCTCCTCCCTCAGAATCTGACATTCAAATATATTACTCATTTCGTACCAAACCTTAAAATATGTAATTAGGTTATGAATGCATTGATGTAGTTTGTGATGCATGTAGTTTGTAAGTCATACAAACTATATTTCTTCTCAAAACATGAGTACCGTAGCCGCCTAAGCTATTTTGCTCTTTGGTGATTGCCAGATTATAAAGTGGCAAGTACACTGGTTACTAAATGTAGCTGACAAACTTACATTATAATCCAGTGTGGTGACTAAGTATAATAAGAGGACTGAAGAACTGTTCAGTGCCAAACAGATCCTTCATTAAAGTGCATAGGAAGATAATAAACAACAGCTATAGCAAATGATTAAGTTAATTCTTCAATGTCACTAAATAATACTTGGATTGCTGCAGGTACCTGTATTTAATCAGCTAGCTGTGATTGCTAACAATTTTGAATCAGTAGTAGATTTGAGTGGCTAGAACATAAACGTGCATAGATTTGTGTAATTCTGCAAAATACCTTGCTAATCTCTACATGTAGTTTCTACCTTTTAAAACAGAATTTAAAGATAGATTAAATAATCTCTAATAACACAACAATGGATTTGTTGTAAATCATAAAAAGGAAGATGCCCAGTTCAGAGTAAGTTTTAAAATACACATAGAAAATGTGGTTTTCCCACTACATCCAGAATAAAATATTACTAGATCTGGAGTATGCATTCTTTCTTTCAAGGCACATCTCACCCGTGTAACCATTGTCCTGCTTTAAAATTAAAAACCTCTTTAACTTTCCATTTAAAAAGTTCGCAAGATTTAAAAGTTCTGTATTTATTCTTCCCTCTTTACCACATACTATTATTTTCACAGGAAAAAGGAAGTTTTATCTCTTATATAAACTTTGCATAAACTGTATGTTGAAAATGTGAACATTTCCCCTTAGTCTTTTATCAGAAACAATATAGGCTATCTATTGTGTAAAGATAATGTAGATCTCATATGTATTCCAGTAATTACTGCAACAAATAGATCAGGCTACATTTCTCTACCTCTGGGGAAAGAGAAGTTAACTGTGGAAAAGCTTGACAATTCAAAACCTTTATATCAGAAACACAGCTCAAACAAAGCTTCCAGATTTCCAAAACGAATGCCTCAATGTACAAAATTGCTGCTGTTAACTCCCTCAGACTGTCTCACATCAACAGTGCCCTGTTTAGTTTTCTTGATCAAATAAAATGGAATTTAAGTATCAATTAATATTCTGAGATTTGAGCAATTTATCAGATATTCAGGTTTGTTCATTTCAAACATAGGATAGATATTCTTAAGGAGAAAGGAAAACTTGAGTTAACTGACAATATTGCATATACAGCTCTGGGCATAGCAAATAAATGCTTGGAATTACAAGAGTTTATACATGGAGACTTTGCTCAGCAAAGTTTAACCCAAAGTTTCACTGCATAGAAAAAGGGGAAAGTGTTCAAGAATTGCAGATACATTTGCCATGGCATCTGATGAGAAAGAATGCCTTTTCTTCACCTTAGCAAAAATTACCTAAAAGATTTCTAACTGCTTGCTCATCAGTTACGGATTCTGAAAGTCTACAATTTTATCTTTATTTTCACCCATAATAACCATCACAGGCAATTATCTCTCTGAAAAATACAGAATCTGGAAGAACTCAAGAGAAACTTCTGGAACCCCAAAACTATCTGACCCTTCCTGACAGAAGTAATTGTACTAGCCTATGTAGATTGTTATTCTAAAAGGACTTAAGTACACCAATGTTCTTAGATTTTCTGAAAAGAACCTTGTTAGAGGAATTTTTGTGTGGGTATTCACAAATTGGAAGACATTCTGGGAACACTTTATTGAGTAAAAGGGAAGGAAGAAAAACAAATCAATTTCTGAACAAAGAAGAGGTGACTAAAAAGCAAGCTCAGTCAATATTCATGGCCAATTAAGAATCGTGTGAATATGTACTTTCAAACTTAAAAGTCTGGGAACATTCCAGTTATATCCACATTTCTAAAGTCATAGAGGAATAACAACCTAATACTTCTTCTGGAGTTTTGTTCTTTTTAAAACCCAAGGTTACTTATCCCTGCTTTAATCTCTATTTATAAATCATCACCTACAACTGAGCAATAGCTCTAGTGCTATTAACCAGTTTGTCCCAATCCAAATCAAATACAATGGACCCCAAACCAATCATAATTAGAGATTATAAAACTCAGTGCTGAACTGCAGTTTTGCATGTTCTTATTCACTTGCCATTTCAATGTAGAAAACACAAGCAAGCAATGTTTGTTCACCAGCTGTTACTATATAATTTTTTTCTACCTATGGTCCCCAAATGAATAACGCAAGTAGCTCAGTACACAATCCACTGTAAACATCCACAGCATAAGCCCCAATTGATAAGAACCTGTGAAAGTCACAATGATGATTTCAAAGGCATCCAGTTTTCCAGTAATATTTTCATTTTCCAGCTAATTAAAATGAGGGACTTGATATTCCAGTGTTTTCAGTGAATTAGCATGAGATTGCTTAGGATAAGATTGTATATATTGCACAAAAATTTAGGATTACCCACAGAAATTTGAAAACTGTGGCAAATGTTTTTCAACTTTACATAAAATTCTGTATAAAGGCTCCAGATACAATATTATTCACAGTAAAAAACTGATTCACATAGCTCTCTTGAAGTTTCATAAGCTCAAACTTTTAATCATAAACAGAGAAGCAAAATATGTGCTTTGTATTGGAAGAGTAAAGATAGATTGTCATTTTGGTTTATATCTAGCCAGTCTCTAAGACAAGAAAAGCAATTTTACCCAAAGAAATAAATAACCTTTGTTTTGCTAAAGCAACAATTATTTCATTTCACATTCTCTATTCCTTAAGTTTGACTAAGAAAGGTCTTCATACAGGTTGAGGAGTCATTTTACATCTTTCCAGCTTTCTTTTTGGGGTGGACTTCAATTCGAAGAATGTTGGGGGTTGCTTCCATGACTCTAACAAGTAAGTTATCTATATAGTCTTCCAGTTCTCGTACCTGGACATCTCGCTTGGCAAGAATATCTTTTTGTTTCAAGACCAGTTGGATCAGTTCATCATGAGTTAACTGAGCATAAGCATAGGCAGGATCTGAACGGTCATATTTCTGTAGGAAAGAAAGGGGGGGGGAGTCATTTCAGTAGAAAGAGTTGTCATGAATAGACTAAAAAATCAGAAAGCAGCTCAAACTTTTAGCTTCAGGGATCTAGCATGCACTTCAAAAATGCTTCAGTAATGCTTAAAAGCAACCACTTTTTAAAAAAATCACAAAAATGTAAAAATGCAGCGTTAGCAAGTACATTTATGGCGATGAAGATTTTAAATCTTTCTAAGCCCACCTCTGGTTGCTGTTGCTCAAACCAGCAAAAATCAAGACAATCTTAAGATATCACATGTAAATCATCCATTATAATTGTCTCAGTTGAGAAAACCAAGGTCTAATTTCTGTATAAAATCAAACTCTTACAAACTTCATGCACATAGTCAATAACTATTGTATAATCCAATACCAAAATCTTTTATGTTGAAAGCCTTTAGAAGAGTTTCAAGTTTTCAGCATATGCAATTCATACATTCTCCAGTCAGTCATATTTTAAAATTGATTATACTATCCTTCAACTATTGTCTTCACAAAAAAGTAGTTAAAAACACAGAGTACAAGGAGCACACGTTAACCACAGCTACAAAATATTAGACCATGTATAATTGACAGACTGGATTTTATCATAGATTTCTATCTGTTATTGGCGCAGTGGTGGCGCAATTGTTATGAGTGCAGTACTGCAGGCTACTTCTGCTGCCTGCCGGCTGCTTGCAATTTGGCAGTTCAAATCTCACCCGGCTCAAGCCTTCCATCCTTCCGAGGTGAGTAAAATGAGGATCCAGATTGTTGGGGGCAATAGACTGACTCTGTAAATCGCTTAGAGAGGACTGTAAAGCACTGTGAAGCGGTATATAAGTCTAAGTGCTATTGCTATTTATTCTAGAATTTTTAATTGTATTATTTATTGAGTGTTTTTATTTGTTCTGGTCTCTGGTCTATGACTGTAATAATAAAAATTGAATTGAATATCACACTGCGCTTTAACATATTTTAATATTCAATTTTCATTTACTCTATGGTGAGAATTAACAGAAATTACAGAACCAGAGATTGCCCATACATTTAAAAAAATGCCTTAAGTACCTTTAGATTGATTTCAGTTTGATTATCCAGCATCTTAGTATTTATGCTCAAGGTTTTTGCAGATGGTTGGTTAGTTGTAGCATTCATTGGCTTCACAGGATGAAGTCTACAAGAGATAACATTTACAGTGAACAACATACTTACTCTGGATGTAACAGAGTACTGCACACATGAATCCTGCAAAGTCACTTTTCTTCTCTCTTACCTTTCACCTTCAAATTTAAGACAAACCCTTTTGTATGGCTGGCATCTCCATATGGTGGAACAACAAGTTGACACTGTATTAAATAACTTGCTCAAATAAGATCAAAGGTTTACTTAATACATTTATGTTCTGCCCTTCCTCCAAGGAATTTATGCCAAAGTAGGAGATTTTCACTTTTACTATTTTATTTTCATAACAAATTAGAGATATATGACAAAATAATGGAAGTAAACCAGGATATGTACTGAGTATATCCCCATGACTTATTGTTTCCCCGTTCCATTTATTAAAGTTACAAATAACGTTGGCTTTTCCACCTTCCCACCAAGAAGAGAGATATCAAGGATTCAACAGCAGCTAATGGTTTTTATATTGGATCTTGTCTTCTCACCTGAGTTTGGCAGAATTTCCACCAGGATTAGGATGTGTTTCAGAGGGTGAAACCCATGCCTGCAGCAGCTTCTTCCTGCCAGAGCTTTCCACTTTGGCATCCAATTCTTCTGCTGTAGCCTTTTTTGGAGATTCTGCTTTATTAAAGCCGTGAGAATCAGACTGGAAAGAACTAACAGAGCAAGACTGAGAAGAACCAGACAGAGGGTAAAGAGAAACAGGCTTAGCAGAAGACTCGGGACAATCATCCTGCCTATCTTTGGTAGAGTGCTCTCCACACTCCTTTTCTATGCCTGTTAGGTTATGATTTGGATTTTTATGTACATTGTTGGCTGGATCCTTCAACAATCTGTTGGATGAATTGCCAAAATTACTCATTTGCATGAGACCTGATACAGTCTCTCCAATAGCTTTCTTAGTTGATGTCAGATCTGTCCTCTCAGCAGAAGCCCACAAGTTCATAAAGCCCTCTTCATTTCTTGACAAATCTTCACTTAATGTCACACTTACAGGATTCTGCTGATAATCACCTAATTGCTCATCATCTGAAGCTACTTCTGGAATAACAGGAAGAGTAATGGGCTTTACATTCAGCTCTCCGGGACCTGAAATCCCAAGTGATGTTCTCATCATGTGGTTAGAGTCATCCTTAATACTTTGAGATGGATCTGTATTACCATTATCATATCTATGAGGAAGGACAGCCATTTCTGAAGTTAATGAGCAAATATGGCTTGACTTTTCACTAAAGGTTGAATTGTCTGAAGAAACCTCTTTGAGAACAGATGACTGGCTTGATACATCTTCTCCTTTTGGTTCATCAGATAGAGGTACACATTTTTTCACTTTCAAACCATTTCTTGGTGCTGGTTTTGGTGGCACAGTATGTGTTTTGTCACTCTGTTCAGGAACTGACATTTTGCTTTGCAGAGGAATGAGGACTCTTGCAATTGGTACCAGTGGCTCCTTTTTAGAGAAGCCAGATTCAACTTCTTTCTCTAAGGGGTTCCCACTAGTATGAACAGAAATTATGTCTTCTTCATCAGGCTTAGAGCCACAACTATTTTCTATGTTTAATTCAATTACCTGGACGCTATTCTTTTCAAATGAATTTAGTGTTTCTTTATTTTCATTTACCTCAAATGAATCTTCATCTGCACGGTCATTATGACTACTTATTACATCCACTTTCGATTCATCGAGGGCAAAGGCTACCGACTTTTTCATCCCATTATTTTCTTTAAAAGGCAGTACTATATGCACTTTGTCATATGAGGCTTTTTGGTTCACTCTAACTAGGTCAGAAGACTGTGGTGGAAGACTCTCAGATAGAGAGCCAGAGAAGTTGGATATAGTATCTGTTTGAACAGTTAAGTTTTCATTTTGAAACTTTTCTGAAGAAACATCAGTGTACTTGGAATTATCAATGTTTCCGGTTAAAGAAACAGAATTTATAGATGTGGGAGGACTTTTAATTCTTTCAGATTCCTGTCCTACTTTGATTACAAAGGGATCATTAATGTTAGAAAGCTGAGAAGGAATAGTATGAGTTTCAGTAATGGAAGCTGCAGAATGTAGAGAATATAAGGAAGAGGTTTCCATCTCCTGAAATTCTTGTCCGCATTTAGGAGTGAAGGGATTATTTTCACGGCCAGAAGTTGAAGGAAGGCAGATAGAAACTGCAGAGCATTCCAGGTTTCTAGAATCCTGCATCCATTTTGTAGTGAACGGATTATTAACAGAAACATTCTTTGAGCTATCAAACGTACCAACTTCCCGAGTTTTCTGTTCTACATCAAATTTAGAAGTAAAAGGATTATTTTCATTATTTGAAGGATAGCAAGTAGGAGGAAGAGGAACAGGAGGAAAAGAGGTGGCTTTGGTTTCATCCTCTGAAGACACGCCCAATCTGTAAGAAGGGACAAAATAAAACCTGCATGTCAGTTGCAGATGCAACCTGAGACAAGCAGACATATTTTAGATAAAAAGTTTAGAAAAGTTGCTGTATGTTAGTAATGAGGAGGGACACAGGGCTTTAGTGAAGCACCCAAGCATATTCTTTTATGTTGTGATACTTTTTTAATAGAGTAAATGGAAAAGCAAAAACTGTATTTTAGGAAAATATGTCTATAAAGTATTACTTTGTTAATCTCAGCAGATTAAATAGACTGTATGAGCAGCAAAGCCTTCAACTATATAAAGCAGCAGAGACACAAAAGTTAGAAAGCACAGCACTATGTTTGACAGGCACACTTCCCTTACAAAAGCAAAGTTTATCTGTCTCTAAAATATAGTTAAATACAAAGTCAAAGTTACAAGACATTGTTAGCACATAATATATTTATCACTAATATAAAACAATGAACCTGAGTCACAATCAATAGTCCTCAGTATCTGTATTGACGTATTTTGACATTTAGTTTGGAAACATGTGGACTACTTTACAAACATAATCAGCTTATGCAATCTAAGTAGCCCAATTTTCTTCTCAAATAATTCCTCCTATTCCCTTCATGTTCCAGCTGTAGAACCTCTATGAGGAACATTTCTACCCTGAGGGGAAGAATAGCAACTATTTTGCTTTTTCTCCTAAAAAAAAAAACCAAGATAGCCTGCCAAGATCATGTTACTCTCCTTTTTCAAGAAGACAGAGCCGTGCATGTCACCTGCAAAAGGATCTGGCTGCTAAATACCCAGATCAGATACACCTTGAAATTTATACCTGCTCCAGGTAAAAGATCAATCTTACTAAATGCATTATATGCCAAGATATCTGTGACCTTTGAAACAGCATCCTTGATCCCATCCCACCCGAGATACGTATGGCACCCTCTTTCCTGGGGTTATGGAAAGCTCTTAAGATTTGGCTCAAGTTATAAAACCTGAAGTTATTTTTTTTTATTTATACAACTTATATGTTGCCCATCTCACTCTTCTCTGGGCAGCATTTAACTCTTAATTGATGAATCTGTGGAGCCCTTGTATGTTTGTTATGGCTGCTTTTTTGTGGGGGCTGTTATGTTTTAATCTTATGTTTTTAACTGTTCATTGTGTATTCCAATGTTATAAGCTGCCCAGTTTTCTAAATTGGGCAGCCCTGACAAATAAGATGGTGATGATATTAGCAAAAATTTAAGCATCTCTTCTTACTAACCTGGGTTTGACAGGTTTCGTCTGAGAAGGTTTCACAGAAGCGGCATTCTTTTCTGGTTTCTCTCCTTCCACAATGTTTTCACTGAAAGGGTTTGTTGATGTCTTTGCAATGACAACATCTATGGCATTACTCTTAGGTGGGCCATGGCCCCTTTTGCCATCCACAGGGAGCTCAGAAGGGTTTGTCTCTTTTCTGGCCAATTCTTTTTCATTACGCTTTACTTCCTTCGCTTTCAGGGAACTTTCAGTGTTCCCCAACTCCTCACTGGTTTTTGTTTCTTTTTTCCCTGTCACAAGAGACAGCAAGCCAGACTTCTTGTTCTCCTGTTTTTTGATCTCCTTGGTTTCTTTTGGAGTGTCTGAAACGAATTGAGTGTTATTTTCTACTAAATCTCCACCAGCAAGCAATTTATACGATGGCAGAGTCATGGCTTTAAAGGATTCCAACGACCCAGATGGCAATTTATCAAGGGCCAACCTTGCAGAGTTTTCAAGCTCCTTGTCGTGTTCGAAAGAGAGGTTTTCCTGAGACAAAAAGAGGCGTTTTCGCTGGGATGTCTGAGGAGAAGATGGAGTGCCTTCTTTTGAAACGAGGTCGCTCTTTGATTCATTTTCTTCCATGTAAACATGGCTACCATTGATACACAGATTGGACCTGGAAACTGGGTCATTTTTGGATCTGAGGCCAAATAAAGAATGCATATCCTTCTTGGCACTGCCAGCAATTATTTGGTTTAATTGCTTGGAGTCTCCACTACCAGTTCTCTTGTGGGTCATGACAGAAGGGGGACCAAGTACATTATTGTTGGTTCTGTTTGCAGAGGGCTCTGAAAAGAAAAAGTAACATTGCTATCAAAACGGATAAGTACATAATTACTGAAAATACTTATCTATAGAAATTAAGGATATTTAGGAACAATATATTTATGATCGGGGATTATTTAAAGTGGACTTAACCAATGACATATACTACAGATCATCATGACAGCTCCATTCTCTCAAAGATAGGGAGAACTCAATTTTGATCAAAAAAGAAAATGTATGGTATCTCAAAGTTAGACACAGCCCTAAGAGGTTCATGAAACTGCTTCTCTTAATGAAGAGGCTACTCACTCTCAGAGACTGTTGTCAAAGTGTCATCATCTTCATCATCACTCCACTGTGATTGAAAGTCACTGGGTCGAAGTCGAACTCTCTCTGAAACAGGCTGGAGTGTGGGTAGCACAGACATGGACTGGGAAATATTGCTTTTATGCAAACCAGGTTTAGAGAACAGTGTCTTGAATTTTGATTTTTTCTTCTCCTTCTCATTTGACTCTTCTTCACTGTCAGCTGGAGAGTGAGTAATGCTAGGAATAATGGCTGAAGCCGTGTCTGGCAATCCGTTGCCCCTTTTCCCTTTTAATTTGTTTTTCAGTTTGCTAAAGGGAGTCCGAGGCTTATCCTTCATGGACAGATCAAACATACTGGCTGTCATGTTGCTCCTCATGAACTGGATATCCACTTCAATCTCACCCCGCTCTTTTTCCTTCTTCCCTGGTTTGGAGTGAAGCTTGTACCATCTGTATACATGAAAAGTGAAATCAGGAATTAGGAACATGAAGACACTAATTCCGAAATGCTTCTTGCAGAGTTTTAGCCCAAAAAGAAGAAGAATCAAGTTCTCTATGACCATGAAATGGAGCCTAGTGATACTGATCCAGCAAAGTATAATGTAAAAAAGAGAAAAGGAAATCACTCAAATTATTTATTCCTCCAATGTGCTGCATTATTCTCAAAATAGTTAAAATTATAGATAGCTCTTTTATTTTAAAACTAATTACCAATATCAGAAAAAAGGGTCTCTATGCTTACATAGCTAGGAAGGGTGGGTCTATCTATCAGGCATAGATAAATATCAGGCAAAGAAAATTTTGAAAAAAGATGTAAATAATAATTTACTGTGAATTTAAGTACATTGTGTTATTTATCCATTTATATATATGCCCATAAACAATAATTAGTTTTATCATTCCCATTTAAGGAAATTTTCAAACTCTTTAGCAAAAGAGGAACATGTTTCTGTAAGAATTTTAAACCCTCTGATCAAAGTATAATGCATCCAGACTTTTTAAATATAGCTGGTTAGAAAGGAGAATTGAGGCACTTAAACAGGATGAGCCAAACTGAAGAGGTAGATTTATCTGCTAAGAGAAGTGAGTGCTTTCACTCTGAAGATACAAGAATATAACTGGGAAAAAGTTTTGCTTTTAATAGGATCTTGAAACATTTTTTCTAGATCCCCCTATTCTGTTGGTGGGTTTCTTACTATGCAACAGTTTTGTAATTTTAAATTGCTACAATATAAAAAACAGTAAAGATCTGGCTGTTTCCCAAACTCTCAGTAAGATTTTAATATAATAACAACTGCTGAAATGCCACTGATAGGTATAAGGAAATAGATGGCAAAGAACAAACTGCTTCTCTACTGGAGCCTAAGATGCAAGCCACCTTAGTTTCTCTAACCTTTTCGTTCCCTCACAGGTACAACATGAACCAAGACAAGTACTGTAGTATAGTCTTGAATGGAACTGGATACAGCATAGGAGATAGCATGACTAGAAAGAAAGAAAAGAAGAAAGTTATTACCAGAAAAAGATTTCGGAAGCAGAAAGAGGAATCTATTTACAGGTAGTCCTCGACTTATGACCACAATTGGGAACAGAATTTCCATTGCCAAGCAAGGTGGTTAAGTGAGTCGCACCCAATTTTATGAGCTTTTTTTTTTTGCCACTGTTGTTAAGCAAATCACTGCAATTGTTAAGTGAATCATTCAACCATTGAATAAATCTGGCTTCCCCCATTGATTTTGCTAGTCAAAAACTGGCTGGGAAGGTCACAAATGCCAATCACATGACTCTGTGATGCAGCATTGCTGTAAATAATACCAGCTGCAAGAGCCCAAATTTTGATCACATGACCATGGCTGTGACAGTCATAAGTGAGGGGTTGCAAGTCACTTTTTCAAGTGCCATGGTAACTTCGGTTGTTAAACTAATGGTTGTAAGTCAAGGACTACAAGTATTCATGCAATTTCTACTTTAATTTTAACTATTTCCATTTTATAAGAAAATTGCATGCATTAAAAGTTTACATACCAAGTCTGAGAAAAGAATGAAACAGAGGAACAGAATGAGAAAAAGCACCAGATATAAAGCAATTCATTTTCCACATTCTTTCCTACCTCCCTCTGAACATCAGGTGAGATTGTGCAACTGCTCTTCAACTAGGTCATCTAAGTGATATGATTCTAAGTGGCATATTCAGTTCAAAACCATGTCCGTTACCTGCAACATGGTTGTGTATTTGCCATCCCATAGGAAAAGTACTACTATATATCAAAAACCACCCACTTGGTACAAGGCTGTTGCTGTAAAAGATACAATTTTCAAATGAAAAGATACCAACAGATTTAAAATATATGATGCCATTATAGTCGATCAATTGCAGATGTAAAGGTGATTAAATCAGAAAAAAATAAGGAGATCAAACAGCTCTGGTTTTCTTTTGTAAGATGAACCCAGTGGGTTAGCTGACATTGTGCTGCTGATTGTAGTAAGAAAGTTATGAACAGGGCCTTTCCTTCAAGCATTCTCTGGATGCTTATCATGGTTGTACAAAGAATTCAAGACTGTCAGTGTAAACTTGGTAAGCCTGTTGGACTTGTTATAGTTCAGCCTTTACAAGAGACCTACCACTTATCAACTATACCAGATATGATTTTAAGAAAATAATGTTATCATAATATATTGTAATTTACATTCCTAACACTGAAATATGAGCTCAGCCTAAAAACATTGCTGACCAAAGAAAAGGATCATGGTATTTTGTTCTGAAGTATCATTTTCTGCACTCTAAGACAAAACAGTGATACATTATCTACTATGCATGTATATTATTTTTACTTTAAATGTATGGTTTTATTCAATAGTGATAGTAAATAAATAAATAGTTTTATTCAATGTGAATATGGTGCTCAACTATTATTACTGGAACATAATTTCCTTTATATCTAGTTGTTTTTTCAGACTGGAAGGATGGCAGAAAAAAGGACTAAGTTTTCCCTCCCAAGATTTGAATCTTCTCTTCAAGGTCAAAAGAATTTTTTTTGGCACATTTAACAAAGGGCCATAGAATTACAACCAATTAATACAGTCTTATATATTTAATCTTTTACTTTTAAATCATGCTTTTTACTATGTGCAGCTGTTTTGCAGCAGGAATCCTGACATAATAGGGAAATACCTATTTTAAAATAACAAATGAATTCTTCAATAGCTTCAATAGCAGAACAAGAAATTTTATGAGTCTGGAAGTACTCTGCATTACCCCACAGAGGACATTTAAAAATAAACACAAATAGCATCCTTTAACAACATTTAAACGATTATAAAACCATATGTAAAAATTAGGGGAAGTACTATCAACAGTTTGACTTTCAACAATGAAGATAAAAGCTATCAATTTTACTACCACTTCCAGCTTGAAGTCTGCACAAAGAAGTGTTAAAATTTATATACCACCCCAAAGCAACTTCTTTGCGCCTACAGAGTAACAAGTAGCAAAAGACTTATGCCTCACGTAACAATGCACATTTGGTTTCAAAGCACATTCATTTACTAGTGTTTATCTAATCATATTCATGTTTTTTTTAATCACAAGGTAAATAGTGCAATAGGTATATATGTAAACTCCCTTTTCCAACTTCTCTCTGAACTAGCAACATTCAAATTCTTATGTTACAAATTCAAGTAGGCTATTTTGTGGGGCTGCTAAAATGCAAACAATAAGTACATGGCTATAAGGAATTACAGAAAACTCTGACTCATTCCTAGCAGTTACTGAATATAGATACTTTACCTGCCTCGATCTTATGATGCACCATTTTATAAAAGGTACACACCCAACATGAGTTTACAAATTGCCATATAAACATTTGAAAACATTCTCATCTTGATCAAAAGGACACACCTACTGAAACCTTGCATTAACTGTAGAATTTCAGATTCCAGTATTTTCCTCCAAAGATAAATGTCTAACCCAATCTTTTATTAAATAGGACTACATTTTGGACTGAAATTGAAGTCTTCATTCTTTTTCAATAACTCCTAATTATTGGTACCTTAATCCATTTCATTTGGATTATTTACCCTCCCCCCCTTACATATTACTTGTTCAATCTATTAAAAGTATGCTATTTGAATTAACACTGGAGTTTGGAAAAAAAAAGTTAATCTCCAAACATTCAAAGTTCATTGATATTTCATCAAATTACTGGATTCTACTCATGCTCATCCATCAATGTGTTTCCTAACTTAATTTTTATACCAATATTCTATATTACTATATTTTCTGCTGGTTTACAATTCTTTTTCAGTTCAAGTTGGAATTTAAAAATGAAGCTTCTTTTATTCCACCACATCCCCAAATTTAGAATTGTGAACATCATTCTCTGTTTAGTTTTTTTTCATAATCAAGCAAATTCATGCTTGGCTCCATAAGACACTTATTTCATTGAACTCTATTAGATTCTTAAAGGGCAGCTTTTGTTTGCAGTATCAAACAAAATTTAGTATATTTACTAAAAAAAGTAATGAATATTTGCTTTGAACAATGTAAAAAGAACATAACTGCATTTATACAGGGTAAGTTTATCTTTAATTATTAGCAGATTAACATCTATTAAACAGAAGCAGCATATTAACTGCTGAGTGAAAAACAAGAATTGACCATTTTGTACCTTCCTTGGGCATTTCTTGGAAGTATTATTGGGTTTTGTACATTGGGGTTTATTTCTATAAATTGAATGGAGTCACCATGAGAGATGGGCGCCACGTAATTTTTTTTAATAAATAAAAAATAAAGAACAGTACTTGAAAACAGGATGTTGATTTTTTTCAAAAATAGGCTTCCCTTTTAATTAAAAGTCAAGACAATCTGTATTAAAAGCACAAACTAAAGTGTGCTGGCTAGCCTCTAATTTTATCCAGCAGAACTATTCCACCCTTCCATTTAACTAAAATGAGTATTTTAACTGAAAGCACAAAACTAAACTAAAAATTTACAGAGCTGACCTATCCAAAACTTTTATGTTAAAAATGAGCCTGGCCTTTAAAATAACATTTGATTCTCCTAACAAAGGAACACTGTCTGGATTCCCATTATCAACTTTCGGAGGGCTGACACAACACACCCAAAACTACCCAAATGGGTGGGCTCTCACAATACACAACAAAACATACAAACAGGTCCTACTGCAAGAAACTCCCTCCTTTCCCAAATAGGCTGCTTCATGCCAATTTCAGCCATGTTCCCCTCATTTCAGGCGCACAGATATACCCTGCCCCTGAAGGTGGAGGCTCCATTTGACATCTCATAGCCCTCGTCTAATGCGCAATTATTTAGACAATCGGCTCTCCAGAAATTAGAGACCTAGAGATGTAATATTAGATCTCTAGATACGTGACAATTCGGTCTTCAGATCTTTAACCGTGGGGAGGGGGGAGGGGAAGGAAAGGGGTTAAATATATATATATATAATTTCGCATTTCTCTGCTTTTTCTCAGGGAAGCAAAGGGGATCGAAAACCAATCTAGTAAAAACGAGGTTGGCCCTGACCGGCGCATCAGCCGCCCCGCGCAGGTAGACTGCCCCTGAGCCTGGAGGCTTCCCCCGCCCGCTCACCGGGTGCTGCGGCGGCCGCCTTCGCTCTGCAGCTCGCCGAGGCTGATCTCGGCGCGGCCCAAGAACTTGTCGAGGCCGAGCAGCGCGCGGTGGAGGACGCTCAGCTGCAGCACGGCGTTCGGCCCAGGCCCGCCGGCCACGCCCAGGCCTCGTCGGGGCAGCGAGGGCAGCTCGAAGGTGGCTTCTTCCCGCCACACGGGCGAGCCGAGGCAGCGCTCGGCCACCGAGGTGGCGAACTTCTCCTTGCCCAGCGCCATGACGGCGTAGGCGTCGCTGCCCCCGCCGCCGCCGCCCTTGGCTTTGGAGCGCAGCCCCCGCGCCTGGAGGACCGTCACTTGGACGTGCGTCGGGGCCCAGCGCGGGGCCGGAGAGCTCGGGGAGCCCGGCAGCGACATAGCGGCGGTTCCTTCCGCTTCAGCAGCGGATCCGTAACACCGGCGGCACCTCCGTCTTCTCGCGCCGCCAGACTGAGCAACCGGCACCGCGGAGACGCCAAGCAGCCGGCTCCTAGTCTCGCGAGAGCGCTACGCCCCGCCCCCTTCCGAATGGAAAACGCTGGAGGGGAGCCTCGCGCGCTCGCCAGAGCCGAGGCGGATCCCGCGAGATCTGTCAGGGGAAAGGGGCGTGGCTTCCAGCGCAGGGACTGGAGTTTGTTTACCCGGGCGGGAGTGGTAGAGCGGTTCCTCCTCTTGTGGTTTGGTTTGGAGCAATTTCCATTGATGACGGCGGGGATAGTGCAAAATATGCGGAAGGCCATCAGTTGCTCTGCCTTTATTTGCACATAGCTGCGGTGCAAATAAAGGCTTCTTGGGGAAAAAATAAAGGACTCGACTGAAAAAGGGACAAATCCGAAGAAGTTTATAATGATTAAAAAATTGTTTATGTTTATACCTTTGCTTTAAAAAGGGAAATTCAAAAGCAAGGACAACTGTTCTAATAAAATCCAACAAGTCAGTTTGCATAAAAAAGACTAAAGGGCATTTGTGGGGTCCTTGGTGCTCTCTGAGCTTGGGGGTTTTCTTGCAGATGTTTCATTACCAACAGTGCTGATAACAGTGTTATTCTATTTCCATATTTTTCACAAGAATGCAAATCGCGTGCATGAAATGGTACCATTTATACAGTAAAAATTAAACAACAAAAAGTGAGTTTTGGAAAAATAAATCTAAAGGACGTCTTTTTGAAATAAAAGACTGTCCTTTGTAATGAATGGTCCCTGTGCCTATAGCAGATTCTATCAAATTGATGACTTTCCATTGCTTTTTATTTTAAAAAATTGGTGTGTCTGTAGCTTATTAAACATAAATCTATATTTTCACCTTGGATTCTCCTGTCTTAATTGGTTGTTGGATACTATTGATGGGTGTTTTTTTTTTTATTCTGGGGCACAAACTGATTATAAATGCAGTATATGGAACACATACTGCATTCAACTTACCAAATAGATAAACCACATGATGATTTAGCATCAGTTGTAAATGTGCCATGTCGGGATGCTGACAACAGTCCCAGAAATGGGAACAAACGTATCAAATAATGACTAAATAGCTGTGGCTACTTGTTTGGGGAGCAAAATATGGAGAACAACAACATCTGAAAATGGCAGGCTAAAAAAACCATCTTGGTTTTTTTAGCCTGCCATTTCCTGGCTGAGTTTTTGAAGGAGTTCAAAGAGCTAGCAAAAATTCTGACACTAAAGTTTCTTGAATAGCTTTTTTATATGGAGAAAGAATTTCTGCTGATTTACTATTCATTTCCATGTTAGTGAAGACTTACAACAGGGAAAAGGGAGAAAAAACACTGGTATTTCCTTTCTGAAACTAATGAGCCAATTTGTCTTAGAGTATGTGCAGAGTTCATTTCTTTCTGAGGGCGAGTAAACATGGCGTTGTCCAGAAGCTAGCAGTTAGATAATAGTTTCATCTCAGAAGGGTGTAGTTTTCCACTGTAGGCAATCTGAATGCATTCAAGCCTGAATGTCTTGCATTTCCTTTTTTAGAAATGACTTCATGCATACAGACTCCACCCTGCATTGCGACATTTAGAAGCCTATCTAAGAAGTTAATTTAGTGCTTCCCAAACCTGGGTAAATTACCCCAAAATAGATAAACCTGTTCTTTTTTTCCCTTTGAACACCACATGAATTCATTACCCAATCCCAACAGGGACATTTAAATAAGAACTTTTTGATAAGCGGTAAAAAGGACTTTCTGATAAGCTATTCTTGTGCAATTAAGGGTAAATTTTGCCCAGTAAGAACTGAGAAGATCTTAGACTTTATGATCCCTGACGTAACATTTTATTGATGTATATTAAATTTGAAATTTTTGCTGTCATGAGGGAATCTAATTTAGGGACTAAAACTCTCCAACCGACCATTGAAGCCCAGTATGTTTTTCATTTCTGCAATTGAAGCATGCAAAATAATATATATTTGCATGAAACTAAATATTGTGGTATAACTCTGCAAAGTAAAGGACATGCAGTAACCCAATGTCTGGAGGCTGTGATGGGATGAAACAAGTTAAGAAGATGCAAGCTGCTATTTGCTCTTTTAAGCCTCCAATGTTGTTTCTGGGTAGGGTATACTTGAGGAAGCACATCAAAGATTTTGAAATCACAGATGCCCAGCAACAATCAGATGGGCAATGGATGTTGTAGCCATCAGGACCTTTTCCCAACTTAGTTTGGTGCACCAGTTGTGGTCCCAACTGAAGCAAGAGGACCTAGAATCATAGGGCTGGAAGGATCTTGCATGTTTTCTAGTCCAACCCCCTGCCCAAGATAGGAGACAATGGTTGTCCAATCTTTTCTTGAAAACCGTAGGTGATGGAGTTCCCACAACTCCAGGAGGCAAGCTTTAATTCATGCCTTCATCACGACTCATCAGTCTACTGCAATGTGTTCCACGTGGGCTTAGCTTTGAAGATGCTTTGAAAGCCTCCCTTGGTCCAGAATGCAATGGCCTGCTATTGGTAGATAAGTAATCACCAACATGACCCTATCTATTAGTTTCAATGCAATTCAAAATCCTTGTTCTCAATCCTTTCAAGCCAGGCCTGGCTTGGCTCCAAAGTGATTGCAGGAATTCTTATCTGCTTCGATTTTTTTAAATATACAATTTTCACTAAAAGTTTTAAAAAGGAAGATAAAAACAAATACAAAGTAATACAAAGTAAGGAAGAAAAAAGAAAGGAATCAGAGAGAAAGCTAAAAGTGCAAGAAAAAAAAAGAAAAGTAAAAAATATAGAAAAGAAAGAAAAAAGTAGTTTCCAATATACTTCACACCAGTTATAAGTACCATTATATTTTAATCCTGGTAGCACAGTGGTTAGAATGCAGTTTTGTAGGCTAACTCTGCCCACAGTCTGGAGTTCGATCTTGATGGGCTCAAGGTTGACTCAACCTTCCATCCTTCCAAGATTGGTAAAATGAGGACGCAGATTGTTGGGGGCAATATGCTGACTCAGAAACCATTCAGAGAGTGCTGTAAAGCACTGTGGGGCGGTATACTGTATAAATCTAAGTGCTATTGCTATTGCTATTAATCTTTCTCTCTAAAGTTACATCATGATTCTCTTCTTTCTATAATCCAACCTGTCTAATCATCAAAGCCATTCTGTAAATCACATTTTTTCCCCATTTTTTTCATTTTTCATAGGGGTTTCTATTCACAGTTATCTGCTTTAATTTTGACACTCCTGATTCAAATGTCAGGGTTATTTCAGACAGCTTCGGGGACAATTATGTGTGTTTATAGTTTTATTCTAGATGTTTACTATATTTCCATTGATGTGAACTGCTGAGAACAGTCTGATTGCAGCAGAGTATTCCAGTAAATAAATGAATAAATATTATGACACATAAATTCAACTTTATTTGAACCATCAGTCATTTCTCCATTTTCCTCCAGAGGTTGTATTAATTACAAAAAACAGAACACAAAGAACTCTTACAAGACATGTCAGCCACTTAGACTACAGTTTAACAGTAAATCTACTTCATTGTCTTTTTACATCATTCTATTGTATTGGTTAGTTTTATTTATCGAGAGTAGCAGCAGTACAATTTTACTTACAGGATTTAGAACTATAATATTTTATATCATGATGTTACTAATATTAAATTTCACTTACTGCTGAAGTTGTTGTAATCCTTTGTATTGGGATTGAGTTTTATATCATTTTATCCTGATGTCTGATGGAAATAATGATTTGTTGTCAAAGCTGTCTTCCCAAAAATGTAAATTTAATCATCCTTTTCAGCTCAAAGCCTAGTTATTTATAGCTCTGATTCTATCACTGCTATATGTATATAAAAAAGGATTTTAATATATGAAGTTGCATACAGAGCTTTCTTCGGCTAAATGGAAATACTTCTTCATGACCTGATTACTTAGACAAGACCTTTCTTGAGGAAATTTCATAGTAATGTCATGTCTAAAGATTTGGATCAGACCATCTGCTGCTGCTTTCTCCCACAAAGTGTGGAAGGCATGGTTGTGACTGTCCACATTTTGCCTAGTAAAGTGTATATTGTAAAGGATTATCATGCATAAATTATGTGCTTATAGTTTTGCTACAGCCCACCCTTAGTCAAAGATGAGAATTGATAGTGTGGTACAGCAGGATGGCGACTATTAATAAGGGTCTGTGAAATCTGTAGGATGGCAGATATGAGCACAAACTGAGGGTGAGCTGCCATTTTGAGCCTGAATTTATGAAGATCCCGGAGTAAGGACTGAATCCTGAAAACATTATGTTAGTGATTCCTTCCTGGCAGCACCAACCCCACTTATGAGCAGATATGAAAGATACTTTTCAAAAGGCTCATTGATTGCAAGAAACCAAGATACTTAAGTTCTTCAGGTTTTATCCCTCCATCAAGTTGTTGTTTTGTTAAATCTTAAGAGCAATTTCCTGCAATTGTGGCTTTGCAGGCCACAGAAATGAAGCTGGACACATAGCCCTGAAACCTTAGCTTATATAGCTAACAGGAAAATCCAGACAATTTGAGGTGATTCAATAAACTGTGGTTAATCAAACCATAGCTTATTCAACAACCCAAGAGATATATGAACTCTGTGCTCTGTCACTGTGCCAGCATTGTGATAATATTTTATGTTGCTTTATTTAAGCTTCCATTCCAGAACTTAAATTATCTTGGTTTGGTGAGGTAAAGGGATTTGCTATGCACTTGCTAACTCCTTCTACCCCTCAATTGCCCATATTTTGCTAAATCTCTCAGTTTTTTTCATAAAGAAAAGACAAACACAGGTAAATGCCAGTATCGATAGCTTCTCCCTGCCTTCTATTATGTCCCTGCTCATTTTGAAGCAGGAGGCCCTGTTCTTTGAAGAGGAACTGGTGGAAAGAACAGCCAAGCAGGTGAAAAGTATGCTAGAGAGTTTCGGTGTTTACACAATCATAACATTAAAGGGTGTGGTTCTCTTTGATTTAAGAGAGCAAACTTATTCATTTATGCATGGATTAGTAAAGTGATTTGACTGCTTTCTTTCCATCCTAAGGGGATTATGGACCAGGTTTTCTTTTCTTACAAAGGTGTAGCTTGAAGGTAAATGGTCTTTTCTCCTGGACAAAAGAACTCAAGACAAGATTGCAACAGTGAGGGAAAAACTCTTGTCACTCATTCTGTCCTGGGGCAGAAACAGATGATGATGTCCTCCATCCCCAGCCCAGCACCTCTAACTCATTTAAAATTGTTCTTTTTAAGGCTTTACAAGCAACTGGTCTTCGCTGCTTTGCTCCAGTTTGGCTTCATCTCCAGCCCCAATACAGATAATTTTACCGTTGATCCATTAAGTCAATAACCTGTTCTAAGACCAAGATGTTAATGCATTATCCATAGTGCCTTTAATATGCCAGTGGACAACATTTTGCTTCTGCTTGGGCTGGGTAAAGTGTGCTCCTAATGCTTTCCCACCCCATGCCCATAGTACAACAATCCTTCTTCTCCTTCTCCCCCTCTTCCTTCTCCTGAGTGACTATCCTTATTCTTTTCCTGTCTCCTATCCAGCTCTGGGCTGGGCTGCCTCTTGGCTCCTTACCCGCCCCCCCCATTTTTTTTTAAATATGCTTCCTCTTTCCTGGAAAACTTTGCTTATTGTAGTCCACCAAGCTCTCCTCGTCCCTCCGCTTCTCTCATAAAGGGAGACCTTTGGAAAATCCAAATTCTACAGATCTTATTTGGAATCTGGAAAAAATGTACTGGAAGAAAGAGATAAGTCAATTTTGCATGGGACCAGGGACCAAGTTTGGGTCAACGGAGGCTTTACTTATTCTGGTCTGCATCAGTTCCATTCCGAACAGATCCTCCCTACAATAATTTCCTGGCAAATCACAATATATTTGAGAATATATTTGAGGTGCTTAAGCTATGAGGAGAATGTGAGTGTTCTTAAACATGTACAACAGGCCCATAGTAAGATTAGTTTTTATCTTGTTTTTAACATTTGAAAACAAGGAAGTGGGACTAGTTTACTAACTGATTCTTATTTACAAGTGGAGGATGGAGCAAGTGAGAACACGTGGGCGACATGCAGAAGCTGAAAGAGCATACTAGCTGGGAAGTTAAGACACAAGTTTGTTATTGATCTGAAAGAAAAACACAGCCATAGCTGGAAAGTCCCGGAAATACTTTAGTAATATGCAATTAAATCTAATTTTACCTGGTGACTTCTAAAGAATCTGGTGAGATGACTCATCAACATCATTACAGACTTTTCACAGGAAGAAAAGTCTCAAGTAATTGCAAAGCAGATTTCCACACAGTGCTGGTATAAAAGCAAAACTGAGTCGAGTGGACAAATGAATAAAGTTTGGGTGGACCAAGACAGTATTTTTATATTCTTGTTAATTGACTTTGCTTATCAGAAGGTGATCACTTGATCCCGGGACATTGCAACCATCATAAATACATGCCAGCTGCTAAGTGTCTGAATGTGATCAAATCCAGCAGAGTTCTCCTTAGGCTGTAGGTATGTCCATATTTTCAGAATAGGAAGTAAACACCAGCTTTATATGGATTTGGGATGGAAGGGAAGCTAAAGCCAGAAATAATAAGGAACAAAACAAAATTTGGGAGCATTCAAACATGTGTGATCATAAAAAGAAATACACACATTTAATTATCCACATTCAATATCTTTCCAGAATAGCATTTCTAAAAATGAAGATAATATATTTTTTTAAAATGTTAATACTATGAGTACCTGACAATCAGACTGAGTTAATTTATCCTTCAAATTCTAGGGGGGTGGTTAAAGCTTTGCTGCTCCATACACTTTTCAGCCAAAACAATTTTCCTGTCTTTTAAAGGTTACTAATTCAATGAAAATTGTGTTTTTATATTCCCATGCATATTGACCAGATGCTCCCATATACTAAGCCATTTTGTGCATGCTTGTTTATTCAACTTCATGCAGCAACTGAAGATGTGCTTTGGCAGTGAGAAAGTATAAACATACATATACACATACCGTATCTGGATTTGCATTCCTGCATTTTTGCTCAGCCACAGACCTGTACCTAAAGTTACAGCCTTCGTTTATTTCTTAAGCAACCTGCAATAGGGTGTCATTTTTCATGTTCCCTACGGAGAGCCAGTTTGTGTGGTGGTTAAGGCACTGGGTTGGAAACCAGGTGACTGTGAGTTCTAGCCACAACTTAGATACAAAGTCAGTTGGTTGAGCTTGAGTATTGCAGATTCCAATTTCTTCTCCCACAGCTGGGATACAACAGATTTATTTGGTAGTGGTCCACACTGCAACCTAGCAGATGGTTCTAATGTATTTACTGATGCTCACCTCTGAGGGTAACATTTACATTTGGAATAGAGGGTCCTGCCAAAAAAAAGAGGTTGCACCATCTCACTTGATGACCTCCTTTGGTGGTAATGCCCACCCAACCTCCTGAAAACCATTTTACAGTATTTCTAGGCCTCATAATAAGCTTGATTGGCACTCATCTTTGTCAATCAATCCCTATTGTTGGGAGCATCATTGCATGATTCAGAGGAAATCACTGTTCAAATAATTTCCCAGCTTATCCTGTGGGCCGTGAATGATTTTCTTACTAATCCTATGACCCTCTCATCTTCATTCCCACTGCTCTGCTCAGAATCAGCTTCCCTAACTTACTAACAACTTTTTTAATTCTTCATATCAGAAAGGGGGGGTGTCTCTAGATTTCAAGGACTAGAAAATGCTACTGTTGCTTCTTTAGTGCTTGAAGCCCACCTGCTGTCTTGGTGCCTCTCAAAAAATATCAGGGATTGATCCTGCAATGCTGCCTTAAGTTAAGATCCCTGAGAGATCCCTCTCTGTTTTAAGATTATTTGATTAGATTTTTTAAAAAATTGGAAAGAAATACTAACAAACGCAAATACTTATGTTCTTTCTGCACCAACTCAGGAAGCTCAAACTGCCCAAGGAGCTGCTGATCCAGTTCTACAGAGGAATGATTGAGTCTGTCATCTGCACCTCTATAACTGTCTGGTTTGGTTCTGCAACCCAACAAGACAGACACAGACTTCAGAGGATAATTAGAATTGCAGAAAAAACAATGGCTACCAACCTGCCTTCCCTTGAGGACCTGTATACTGCAAGAGTCAAAAAGAGGGCTGGGAAAATATTTACAGACCCCTCGCATCCTGGACATAAACTGTTTCAACTCCTACCCTCCAAATGACGCTATAGAGCATTGCACACCAGAACAACTAGACACAAGAACAGTTTTTTCCCGAATGCCATTACTCTGCTAAACAAATAATTCTCTCAACACTGCCAAACTAGTTACTAAGTCTGCACTACTATTAATCTTCTCATCATTCCTATCACCCATCTCCTCTTACTTATGACTGTGTGACTGTAAGCTTGTTGCTGGTATCCTTAAGATTTATATTGACTCTTTCCCTATGATTATTATTAAGTGTTGTACCTTATGATTCTTGATGAATGTATTTTTTTCTTTTATGTACACCAAGAGCGTATGCACCAAGACAAATTCCTTGTGTCCAATCACACTTGGCCAATAAAGAATTCTATTCTATTCTATTCTTAAAATGGGAAAGAGAAAAAAAGTACTATAAAAATAGGCAGGCAGGCAGGCTTCTGACTTTTTTTTCTCTGTTCTGGAGAACTCAGAGAACTACTCAATCAGAGTAATTTGCATTCTCACTTCAGATATCAAACTAGGCCACAATTAACTTGCTTGTTTTCAATTTTGTGTGTTGCATGAAACTAGCCATTTCATTTTATAAACCATGGTTTGTAGCTTTGGTGCAAACTCAGGACATTGCAAAATGAATGCTTTGCCCTATTTTGGAACCAACTCCAGATTGTCCCACTTTACAACTGAGTTAGGTTGTTTTCTCTCCTTGTTTTGATGCAGTTTCTTTGGTGTGGTATGGCTCTTGAATGTTCTATGAAAGAACTAATGGACCTCTGAGATGAAGAAGAATGATTTAGTTGAGAACTATTAGCCATGCAACTTCCCCTGTACTAGATTTGTCATTATACCAATTCATAATTTGAGTTTTGGCTTAGCATTTTGTGTTAACCTAGGTGACCTTGGTTTATTCCATGAGCCATGATTAAACAAAGCTTAGTGTGATGTGTGAACCAGTCACAACCTGTGCTCTAGACCAATGTAGTAAATTATAATTATAATGGCAGTAGTTGGAAAATTAAAAATAAAACTGTTTCCTAATAGGAATTTTGTTGGGTGCCTGATCTATCCAAATTCACATTTAAACATCAAATATTCAAATGCAAAGGGCTTTTGAAAGGTAAATTCATATTTCAGGAATTCAAATGGAAGCTTATATTTTTAAGTCTAAGCATCCCTGAGCAATACCATGGATATGCATCACCTGTGAAATAATCACTTAACCCAGGACAGGAAGATTATAGGAGAAGATTGCCATGTTGCAAAGCAAGCAATTAGCCATGCTTCTATGGTTATGCTGTTTATGCCATGTCCTTTTTAAAGCTCATCCATCCGGTATAATCAGAGACCACAAAGTAATTAGTTTTCACAGGGCACATTTATAACTCATTGATCATACTTCTTGGCATGAGATGCTTTGGTCACATAGGACAAAGCATGTGATAATTCAATATCACAACAGATATAGTACTGACAGGGGAAAATGATAGAGTTTGAATTGGCTCCATTGCTATCTGATCCAAATTGGGTTCATGCCTCATGGTAAGTCATGGTTTGTTATGGTTGGTTACACTATGCATGGTTGACCAAGCCACAGTTGGCAGGATTATGCACTAGGTTAAGCCAGATGTACAGTACAAATAATGAATGTCTGAATTCATATAACTTGCTAAGTTGAAGTCAAACAACTATATTATTATGGCACAATGCAAAGTATAATGTAGTTAGGCTGAAATTTATATTCCAATTTTTCCAAATTTCATTTCCTATTGCATTCTCAGATTAATTAAATGTATTTAATAATTAAATTTTAATTTTATTAAAATAGAAATATTAATTAAAATAATTAATTTAAAAAACATCAACAGCAAGAAAAATCCATTCAAAGGGCAGAGTCAATGAACCATCAGTTTTTCTATGTTTCTGTTAAGAGTATATTTTAATTTTTCTTAATTTTGTTTTTGTTTTACTTAAAAAGGGAAAGTTATTTAATTTTCATTAAATGAGAATGCTTGAAAAAGGCAAGAGCTTCTCAGAAAAGCACTAGTGAGAATAAAAGGCCTTGTGAGAGTATTTTTCTTCTCTGCATTCTTTCTAGGGTCTCAGCATCTTGGAGCTCCAGATCCAAGTCCCGATTCTGTCCAAGTTTCTTGGATGACTTTGGATTGGTCTCCCTCTTTCTCTCCCAATCCAATCTACCTAACACAGTAGTTGTGGAGCTATAATTATAAGCAGAAGCTATGTATTCAGCTTTGAGTTAATAGCAAAAGATATATTGTATGTATGTGTAGATAGATAGATAGATAGATAGATAGATAGATAGATAGATAGATAGATAGACAGTACCTCTTGCCACCTTTCTTTTTTGCTAGGCCCACTCAAGTGAAGTGCTGCACTTTTGTGATTCAGCCAGTCAACCTTCACAATTCTAGGTAGATAAATAATAAACATCTGATAATCTGATTTGGTGTAACGCCTCTCTTTATATTACTAACCTTAATTCCCTGTATCATATGTTTGCACTTACACTAGTCTAATGCCCCGTGACTTGTGTTCTATGGAAATAGAAGTATACACAAACACAAACAAACCAAAGCCTGGAGCCCATTATGTTATAATTGCTTCTAGAGTGTGAAGGTTAGACAGGGTGCAATCTAATTAGATCCTCAGAAGAATAGTCCTGATGTTCTAAAGCAGGGAGAAAATCAAATTATTCTTCTTTTGCAGAAGGTGGGAAGAACATCTACAAAAGCAAAGGTAAGTGACAAGGCTTTAATAAGCAAAAATGGTTTTGTACCAGGATTATATTAAAAGCTGTTGAAGTGGGGTAGGAGTGGGGAGTCTTTTCAAAGACTTTTTGAAGGGAGGGCAAATTAGCGTGTTAGACAGTTGGAAATATTTGATGCTGGTTTATTAGTCTGGTTTATTAGTCTTACAATGTTTTCCTCTGGAAATTTGTTATTTTATGGTTCAGCTAGTGCCTGGAGAATTATAAAAAGACTGAAAGCGGATAGCCTAAGACAGCATCTTCTTCTTCATTAGGGCTATCTATAATAAAAGGGGACCAGTAAAGGAAGAAAGATGCCCAACTCTGGAAATAAAGGAACAACGAAGAGAAATAAAATCAATAACTCTGTGTTGCCCTTTCATTTTACTTAAAATCCACTGCTTAAAATAGTCAACCTGATTTCCAGAAGGAAAGAATTGTACTGTCTGGGAGATTCTTCTGTCCTCAAATAAAGATGTTTTGTGTGTAATATTATGACATGATGAAACCAGTAGTTGCCATGTTACCAGGAAGGAACATGATGGGCAAAAAGTAAGTGCTTTCTAGGACAGGATAATGTTAGCTCTTATTATGCGAGTTGATTGAGAACATTTATAGGTCTTTTTCACATTAGACTTCAGAGGCAGTATTTATAATAATAAAAAAACCCACAATCGAGTAGCTAAAATCAGCTTAATATTGAAAACCATTGATGGAATAAAGCAGTTACAAACAGTGATTTTTTTCTTTGTTTTTAAAAGCTAAACAATGCACAGGCAGGGAAAAGTATTTTTATCTGGCCATAAAGATTAGAGTTTATTCCATGCCTGGTGGCTTTGCCCAGAAATTAAGAAATATTGGAGGAAAATAAAAACACGGATAGTAGAAATAATAGAGCAAGAAATTGAATTAGAACCAGAAATCTTCTTATTGGGCATGATTAAAGGGAACATTAGAAAAGACATAAAATATCTAACACTACATATAATTACGGTGGCTAGATTGGCACTAGCACAATTGTGGAAAACAGATCGTTTGCCAACGGACCAAGAGGTACTCCAAAAAATTTATACATGTGCAGAAATGGACAAATTAACCTTAGAATTAAAAGACAAGGAAGACTCAAAATATTTTGAAGTATGGAATAGATGGTACAAGTGGATAAATCAAAGGGTAAAAAAGTAAAGACAAAATTTTAGAAAAATTAAAAGTAATAAATATGCACCGTCATGTAGATAAAGTAGGTAATAAGTCACTGTTTATATATGTGTTTATATATAAGTACATATATTCAGTTTGTTTGTGGTGATTTGTATTGTATATCTAATTTTATGATTGAAAATAATTTGTATATTTTTATCTTTTTAAATTTAATAAAGTTTGTTTTTAAAATGAAAAAAAAAGATTAGAGTTGCTTTAATAAATGACTTCCTGTTTGTGTATTGATGGAAAGTAAGCGCATGGTTTATTGAGGGATATTAAAGTAGGATGAGTGATTGATTCCCAGAAAAGTGCTTTTGATGGGCAATCAGTCATAAAATAAATAAATGTTTCAGGACGTATTACAGTTTGTGCGCTAGAAACTGTGTGTCATCATTTGTACTGTAGCTCTGCAATAGGTGAGAGGATTTGCTAACGTGCCAAATGTGGCTGAGCACAGCACCCTTACTGCATGGGGCAATGGGGAAAGGTGCCACGAGCTACAATTCAGCAAAATCTGAATAGTTACAGGTTTATAAATGTTCTAGACAGATTTGGCTGTGGATAAATCCCACTGAAAACAGGACTTGCTTCCAAGTAGATATATTATTCATTGATGGTTGGATCGATTAATGAATCTGCTTATTAAAATGAGCAGGTGCGAATATGAGGAAATGATGCTTTTGAAAAGTCATTTTTTTTTCATGCATTTTAGGTAATACAATATGCATGACAGAAAAAGTTTCCCCTCCCATATGAGCTCACTTTGCTATAAGTAATTTTTTGTAAAGATTTGCTTTTTTAAAAAAAGTTTCGTGATCCACCTTCTAGTATTTAAATTCGCCGTTTTGCTTTTTTGTCAATTCAGAAGGTATTTTAAATCAGTTGATCTGGCTTTCTTCATTGTTTTAAATCTAATTTTTATTGAAATATTTTTAATGATAAAAGAGGAAAGGGGGACCAAACAAGAGGTAGCAAAACCTGAAGCTGGATAGGAGATAGAAGAAAAGAGTTGGACTAGCCACTCCCTAGAAAAGGGGTCCCTAAACCCCAGGCCGTGGCCCTCTACTAGGTTGTGGCCTATTCGGAATTGGGCCATGCAAGTGACTGGCTAGAACACGCGCAGCTCAACTTGAATGAGTGGTGGGCTGTGGGCACTCGTGCGCATGCACGCCAGGTTACCACTCACAGAAGTCAAGCTGTGCACTTGTGCATCCGCCTGCTGCTTGTGCAAGGGCTGCATGCATGTGTATGCATATGCACCGGCCCGCTGCTTGCTTGGCCCAGTATCGCTCTCTCCCCACCACCAGGACGTCGAACCACAAAGGTTGGAGACCACTGCCCTAGAATCTCTCAGGGTGTATCCATTAAGAAGGGAATAGTAAGGGTTTAGTCTGGCAAGATTCTGTCTGTTGACTCTAAGCAAATAAAGATCTGAACTCTGACTGAATTGCTCCTCATTATCCTTGGGCTTAGCCTGACACCTGACCATTAGCCATTCTTGGTTTGGGGTAACTGGATCTGTAATTCAAAATATCTGAAGCACAGAACAATAATCTATTCCTACATGTACATATATGCCCTTTACTATATGAAAACTATATGAACATCTTTGTGAAGTCATAAGCAGTTGAACTCAACTCAAAACAACTTTGCCTTACTTACTTGATACAGGAATTTAATCTATATCTAAAGCATAACACTGACTGCAACACAATTATTGGCAGGGATTATCTTCTTCTTAAAGGTGAACATTTCTTTCAACTCACTTCGGAAGCGATCATGCAACCAGGCATAAAGGAAAGGATTATAGCAGGAAGAGCTCATGGCAAACCAGTGGCAGAGCAACTGCAACAGAAGGAAGTATTCTTTGTTAATGAGGTTGATGTTGATGTCGCGGATGATGTTGAAGACATGAATGGGGAGCCAGCAGACAGCGAAAGCAGCCACCACCAACACCAGGAGGCGGAAGATCTTCCTTCTTCTCAAGCGGTCAAACACTGCCTGGCTTTGTGTTGGATGACCTGGAACGACACGGTTCTTCAGCTTGATGGTGATGCAGATGTAGGAGAGAGAGACAGCTGAAAGAGGCAGGATGTAGGTGATGATCAAGGTGCTATAAGCATAGGCCAGGTGCTCCCTCTCTTCTCCTATCCAGAACTCTTCACAAATGGCAAAGCCTTCCTTCTGGAACTCCACATGGTAGGTGTGGGCAACAGCTGGAGCTACCAGGGCACATGAGAGCAGCCAAATCCCACCAATGACGTACACACAAGTTGTATACGAGATACGTTTCTTCAGAAGATGCAGAGTGGTATAATATCTGGGAGAGCAGAATAACAGAATTATAGAATTACAGAGTTGGAGGTCTTCTAATCCAACCCTTTTCTTAAGCATGAAACCCTATACCATTTCAGACAAATGGTTGTCCAACTTCCAGTGTTGGAGCACCCACAACTTCTGGAGGCAAGCTGTTCCATTGATTAATTGTTCTAACTGTCAGGAAAATTCTCCTTAGTCCTAGGTTGGTTCTTTCCTAGATTAGTTTTCATCCATCCAGCAGGGAGCAAGAGAAATGGGAGTCCTCCTGGACTCACGGCTGTTTTTGGATGATCATATGACGGCCATGGCCAGGGGGGCTTTTTATCAGGTTCGCCTGATTTCCCAGTTGTGCCCCTTTCTGGATCGGGACGCCTTGCGCACAGTCACTCACGCCCTCGTCACTTCCCGTCTGGACTATTGTAATGCTCTCTACATGGGGCTCCCCTTGAGGAGCACCCAGAGGCTCCAACTGGTCCAGAATGTGGCCGCACGAGTAATAATGGGGGCGACCCGTCGCTCCCATGTAACACCCCTCTTGCGAGAGTGGCTCCCGGTGGTCTTTATTATTTCTATTTCTATTTCTTTCCAGGTGCGCTTCAAGGTGTTGGTTACCATCTTTAAAGCGCTCCATGGCTTAGGACCTGGCTATCTACAAGATGGCATTCTGCCACCGATTGCCTCCCACCGACCGGTACGCTCCCACAGAGAGGGCCTCCTCAGGGTGCCATCAGCCAAACAATGTAGACTGGCGACCCCCAGGGGGAGAGCCTTCTCTGTGGGGGCCCCTGCCCTCTGGAATGAATTACCCCCGGACATACGAAGGATCCCCGACCTCCGCGCCTTCCGTCGTGCAGTGAAGACCCTGTTATTCCAGCAAGCCGCTTTGATGGGATAAATGATTTTAATTTGGTTTTAATGGGGTTTTAAAATTGGTTTTAAAATTAGAGTTTTAAATTTGGCCTATGATTTAATTATTTTAATCTGCTTTTAAATTCTATTTTGTACATTGTTTTTATTATGGCTATTCACCGCCCTGAGTCCTTCGGGAGAAGGGCGGTATATAAATAAAATAAAATAAAATAAAATAAAATAAAATAATAAAATAAAATAAAATAAAATAAAATAAAATGATAAAATAAAATAAAATAAAATAAAATAAAATAAAATAAAATAAAATAAAAAAAATAAAATAAAATAAAATAAAATAAAATAAAATAAAATAAAATAAATGAGCATGACCTCTTGCTTCTTTCTCTGCTCTTTTATGGAATTTTTTCTGCTTCCCAGTCATACCCTAACCACAGCTCTGTAGGGTGCCACAAAATCTTTTAGAAAAAATAATATTATGTTAAAGTATTAAAACAATAGAAAAATTAAAACAGAGGACAACATTGAAGATAAATTTCAAGGACAGTAATAATTAAAGCAAGAAAATGTGGCATAAAAAGCAATCATGTTTCTACTGGTCATCATCATTATCACTGTTGTTATCATTATGAGCATTAGGATTAATAATGGTATCATAGACATAATAATAATAGGAACTTTTCTAGATGCCCGGTGCATATTCAAGACACAATAATCTTAATATTATTGTAATCAATTGATTAATCGTAATCAATAAAACAGCAAACTCAATCTACAGGGTAGGTAGACCCAGGAGAACAACAACTGTTCTTCTCCAGCACTTTTTTACTTTTAATTGGGTGTGCACCTAGCTGTACTACCCCTGTGATAAATGGTTGTCTTTCCAATCAGCATACATTGTTATGCCTAGCTTAACACTTAGAGCTTCAGTGAATACAAATATTGATTGGTGGCTAACAACTGCATGCTCACCTCCACCTCAGGCTCATGTCTAACACAAATGTCTTCTCATGTCACAAAAATAAATTACTAATGTTTCCTGTTTGTATGCTCAGCATAATGCAACCCTTTGCACTATTCAAAGGGTTTTTACTCCTATTTTACTCCTGGTACTCTGGCAGTTGTATATTTGGGCTTAATTTCTAAAGTAGCATTTGCTGCTTTGAAACGATATTTACCCATCCCAATAATACCACCAGGATCAGGAATATATCAAAATAGCTTGTATTTGCAAATCCTTGGTTATAATATGGGACTAATAGATGCTTAACTCGATATCTCTCACACCTACATCTTTATCTGGGAAAGCCATGAAAATCCAGGGTTTTAGCTATGGTCATTCAAGTATCTTTGATGGTATTCAAAGGTGCAACTTTACCAGTGACTAGCTCTGTCTGGCCTTGCATATGCTCCATTGTGAAGGAGGAGACTACATAATTTCCAAATTCCCTTCCGTTGTTATGATTTATTGATTTAATGCGTGCTCTTCACAGGAGGAGTGAGATTGCACACTAAATAAAAAGTATCCTGGGCTATTAATCCTGTGTAAGTGCGCATAAAATTGTACCACTTAGCTGACCCAGAGTGTCACCTGCACCATTTTCTCTTGGGAAGTTGAATTCTTCTGATATTTGCTTCACTGCTTGGCCCAGATCATAGACATTTTCTGGCTTAGCTTTGGTAGCGCTGTCAGTTAATAAAGATCTGCATAAAACAACAAGGAACCAGATACAAGTATTGGGGCAAGAATTTCCATTGCTAAATAAGGTGGTTGTTAAGTGAGTCACGCTCCATTTTATGAATTTTTTTGCCATGGTTGTTAAGTGACTCATATGGTCTTTAAGCAAATCCAGCTTCCCCCGACTGATTTTGCTTTCAGAAGCCAGCTGGGAAGGTCGTAAATGGCAATCATGTGACCATAGAACGCTGCCACCATCCTAAATACATGCCAGTTGCCAAGTGACCGAATTTTGTTCACCTAACTCTGGATATCCTGCAATAGTCATAAGTGCGAGGACAGGCCTTATGTCATTTTTTCAGTGCTGTTGTAACTTCAAATGGTTGCTAAGTGAATGGTTGTAAATTGAGGGCTACTTATAATGATCAGTTGCAGAAAGTATGCTTTATAAAGCTTTAAGTAAGGATGCACCTGGAATATTGCATCCAATTTTGGTCACCGCATTACAAAAAAGATGTTGAGACTTTGGAAAAAGTGCAAAGAAGAAAGAGCAACTAAGATGATCAAAGGCCTGGAGACTAAAACATATGAAAAACAGTTGCAGGATTTGGGTTTGGCTAGTCTAAAGAAAAGGAATAGGGGGGACATGTTAGCAGTCTTCCAGTATTTGAGGGGCTGCCACAAAGTGAAGGGCGTCAGCCTATTCTCCAAAGAACCTGGAGGCAGGACAAGAAGCAATGGATGGAAACTAATCAAGGAAAGATCCAACCTAGAACTAAGGAGGAATTTCCTGACAGTGAGAATAATTAACCAGTGGAACAGCTTGCCATCAGAAGTTGTGGGTGCTTCATCACTGGAGGCTTTTAAGAAGTGACTGGACAGTCACTTGTCTGGAATGGTCTCCTTCTTGAACAGGGGATTGGACTAGAAGACCTTGAAGGTCCCTTTTGAATATTCTGAATAGATTGAATTTTATTCTGAATAGATTGAAATTTCAGACTGGAGCACAGAATCCAGCAAAACCTTTAGGGTGCTTGATGTGGATTTAGTGCAGCATTCTTTTCTTCTCTACTCCTTGCTTTGATTTAATTTACATTGGTTTACTTAAATAAGAGAAGAATGTCCTAAGGTAAAACACATCCCTGAACAATCCTTGGCCATTGCAATTATCCCATCTGCAACCTCATCACAGAATAAAAGAATGGGAACAATCTATATTGGGGGAGAATGAATCAGAGAGGCTTTTTTCTTTCTTTTCAGGTGATCAATTAATACCACACACAGCAGGTTCTTCCTGGTCTCTCTCAAAGCCTGCCAATAAACCAAAGCTCCTCTCTATCTCTGATTTAAAAATATATGCCAAATCTTTCTAAAGTTTGATTTTCTGAGACAAAGGCTATTCCCCACTGCTAAACTGTTGGTAGAAGCTGATATTAGCATGAGAGTTGCTGCCAATTGTCAGTTTCTAACCCGCTTAATGGCCTCTGCAAAGTTTAACAGGTATTGTATATTTTGAGATTGTCTTTGGACAATACAAAAATAAAGGGAAAAACACTCATATCTGTACAGCCCAGAGTAATGTAAGCCTATTTCCGTCATGGGAGACTTTGCTAAATGAAGATTTGCTTCCTTCTCTACATGGTAGTCACTGATCAGAGGAAACACATCACCAAAAATCCAGGTTTGCCAAAATTTATGTATATCCTACTAACCAACGTCATCAGTTGCCGCTTTGAAAAATGATCAATAGAAATTCAGAATGTTCATTCAAGTACCCTACCATTTCAAAAGCAACAAAGAATTATTTTCATAAATTGTGTTTGGTTCATCTCATCCCTGCAAAGCTGTGCTGCACTCAACAGCTAATTTGAGAATGGGGACTATCAATCAGGAATGATCACTGTCTGCATTCTGATATTGAATTATGAACCTGTTCTCCATGGAAAAACTCTCCTTGAGAATAGAGGGAACACTGCAAAAGATAATCCTCCATAACTACTGGGAAAACAGTCATTTGGTTATGGAGGAGCTTCTTTATGGGCAGAGACCAATATAGCAACATTTTCCCCTTTATTCCCTGTAGGGCCTCTACTGAAGAAGTTTCTCCGTATGAAGAGCTGTCAAACCACAGCTGTTTATGGAATGTATTCTTTTGATGAATATGGAATGCAGCATGTGGGCAGTTCTACAGCCTTGAGTTCTCTGAAGGAAAAGGAGATTAAAAAGGTAATAAAAAATAGTATAAATCTACCTTAAGATAAGAAAAGGTAGCTTCTTTTTTGAAGTTTTGAAGTCTTCCAAATTGTACCACCACCTTTGGTTATGGAGGAAACTGCCAAAGATTTTTTTGCCACATTTGTTAAGTGAATCACTGCAGTTGTTAAATTAGTAACACGGTTGTTAAGTGAATCTGTCTATGGATGTTCTCAGTCATCCAGGTCATGGTTGTCCCAAAAGTGCTTTTTAAGAGGCCACGAGACTTTCTGGTTTTTCTTTGAAGACAAGAAGTGAAACATCTTCAAAGAAAAACCCAGAAAGTCCAGTTGCCTCTTAAAAAGCACCTTTGGGTTAAATGAATCTGGTTTCCCCATTGACTTTGCTGGTCAGATGGTCGCAAAAGGGGATCATGTGACTCTGGGACACTGCAATCATCATAAATTTGAGTCAGTTGTCAGGCATTCGAATGTAAATCACATGACCCTAGGGATTCTGCAATGGTCATAAATTTGAAACATGGTCATAAGTCCCTTTTGTAGCTGTTGTAACTTCAAACGGTCACTAAATGAACTGTTGTAAGTCGAGGACTACCTGTATTGGTCTTCGATATGCTTAATGAACCTATTTCTGTTTTTTAAATTATTCAACATAGGGAGGGCTGAAATTCCTTTCCCATCCTCTCTGGAGACTTCATTGCATTAGCATCTGAGCCCTTGCAGTTTGTGACAGTCCTAATAAACTATATTAAATAAAGTATGGCCTCCGACAACAGAAACTTGCTATTGCTTCCACATGCCAGCAATATCACACCTGTAATTAGCATTGCTTTGTTTTGAGTCAACTCTGATCTTGTATTATCGCTGGTTTAAGATTACCCAACCGCACCCACCCAGATTTGCTGTTTGGTCCATGTGAAAGATGTTCCTTATCTTTTCTCTCTTATCTGCTGTTTCACTGAGCCACCACCTGTACCATTTACAAAGGCCAACACGAGTGGAATATGGTGCATATATTGGCACCGGGATTAAATCCAGGGGAATACATGGCCAAGAATCAGATGTAATCTAGTTTTGTCCTGTGATGGACATTACAAACATATTAGCCTGGAAAAGTTGAGGAGCTGGTCCTTATTTTCTTTCACTAGAGGGGCTGTAGATATCATTAGATCTACTATACTATCTGGCCCATTGTTTTCAATACATATTGTCCGCAACTTGGCCCAGGGTACCATGAACCCTCTAAAAGCCCAAACAGAGACTCTCCAGAAGGCTACAAAGATTGCCCTAGAATTGTGGCTTCCAGATATGCAATTATTGTGTTATATTTTAGTTATTTATTTAGTCTCATAAACATCCATTTTTTGTCTTGGTCTTATCTACTTTTCGGAATGTGTCCATCTCCTCTTGGATATGTTGTTCAATGTATTGGCAGAAAGTGCGGAGTACAAGTTGCATCCTCAACCTTTGCTAGGACTATGTTGCTATGGAAATGTTCTATCACCCACTCCCAATTCCAAACAGTTTCTACATTTGTCTGGCTTTCCAAAGGCAACAGCTACATTTGGCACAGATTTTTTTTCTCTGTGGCAAATAATAAGATACCACATTATTAATTGAAGGACAGGGACAATTCCCATTGCAGTGAGAAACCAGCTGTCTCTGTGATCCTTCTTGGACCAGGCTGTGAAAAGGATAAGCAGAGCAAATAAACCTAATTCTCTGGTCATAGTCACTCGCTCAGCACACCCATGGAGGAGAAAAGGTGTAAAAATTAACTTATTTACCAAACCAGTTGGCCACAAGTTAGAAAAGAGCAAACAACAGGATAATGATGATCAACCAGTAAATGCTCTGTTTTTAAATCTCTGCTGGAAATACAAGGAGGAAGAACCAGTTTAATCTCCAACTATAAGTTCCTTCCCAGCAGAAATGAAATGAAAACAGTAGGACATTTATAGAACATAATAAAGAACATTGACCTATCATATTGTCCTAAGGAAAGAACCAAAACCTTATGGTAAATACATGCTTGGCAGGCAGAGAGTCCCAGAATCAATCCTCTCAATTTGTGAGTAGATTTGTGAAGAGTGAGAAACTCTTGATCAACTTCCTGGAGAGCTTCAATCCTTAAGGGTAATGGAAACATCCCAGCTACATCCCCTTAAGATGAGTTGCATTTCAACTTAACCAGGGAGGGTCAATGATGGAATAAGAGGTCTTCTCTTCTGTCAACCATGTGTTTCACCATTGAGCTGCAGGGCTTCCTCTTAACACAAATCTTAACACAAAAACCTAACACATTGTGTTAAGGCATAATTTATCTAAACATGGTTTCCCAAATAAATTCCAATATTTAGACTCACACAACACACTAGGCCAAAACCAAATAAGGCCAATGTACACAGGTCAAATGAACCTAATTCTCTGATTAGCATGCCAAATATGACAGTTTAGCAAGAGGTGTGTGAACCAAATCTCTCTCTAGACCAGTGTTTCTCAACCTTGGCAATTTGAAGAGGTGTGAACTTCAACTTTCTAAATTTTAGGAATTGACATCCACACATCTTCCAGCTTGCCAAGGTTGAGAAACTCTGCATTAGACTCTTGATTAATAGGAAACATTTGTTTACCTGTCCACAGCAATGGCAGTAAGTGTGAAAACAGAGACATAGACAGTCATGGGCTGCATCAGGAACACAAAGTAACACAGGAACTTCCCAAAGATCCATCCCTGGGGGTTGAAAGCATATGCCAGGGTAAAGGGGATGCAGGTTGCACACATCAACATATCTGAGAAGGCCAGGTTTCCAATGAAGAAGTTGGTGACATTGTGCATTTTCTTGATCTTGCAGATGACATAAAGAAGAAGATAGTTGCCAAAGATGCCAACAAGCACCACCAAGGTGTAGCAAGGGATGATCAGAGGTTTGAAAGACTGGATCAGCTGCACACTAGTAAACTGGGAACTGAAATTGGAGCTGTTCCTTAATGCTACCTCAGAGCTGCTGCCATTAAAGAAGCCAGTATTCCAATGGCTGGTGGCTTCCATGAGTCAACCACAATAGAAGGATTTAACCATAAGTAGAATAGACAACTTTTACTTTGAGCTCCATCTCACATTGTCTCAGCAAGTAGTTGACCTTCTTGGGGATCAAAAGCTAAGCAGGATAGGTTCTGCTTCAGATATGAATGGGCTGTAGACCACAGTGACACACTGAAAGAAAAATATTCCAGGAGAAGGTAACAGCAGTCCACTTTTCTACTGTTGCCCAGAATATTATACAGATGTGTCCTAAAAGCCACCCAAAGTCATGTTCAACTTGGATAGTGGAGTAGCTTTAGCATTGTTTCACACCAATCAGATAGGAAAAACAAGATATATATTAAATACTGGATTTAGCCTGGTTCGGTTATCTATATTTCAGAAAGTTCCTTTTGTCCCGATGCACTTCCATATTCATGGGCCATCTTTTGAAGGACTTGTTTTTGAAGCCGCCACCGTAGGACTGAGAGGAAATGCTTTCAAAGGCCATGAGTCTGAGTCCTTTCAGCTCATTAGGTATCCCTGCCTTTTGATGCCTTCCCCATTTTCCTCTGAGTTGCTTCTGTAGCTCCTCTGTAGCTTTATTCTTTCATCTCAAGATCACAACCTCCTTGTTTACTTTTTCAAGGGAAGGATTTTGCTGCAGGAGTGCCTGAAAACAGCAATTTAAAAAGAAGAAGAAAAAAAGGTAGAGAGAGGCATAGAATGACAGGGTAAACAGCTTTCCCTAAAGATTGACAAACTGAAAAATATGTTAGCAACATGCCAGGCCCCGAACTGCGCTGCTCAGAGCTTACAGAGCTGTGTGGCAAAATGATGGTGGCATGAAATATTCAGAAATAAATAAATAAAATGCTTTTCTACAAATAGGAGAAAGGAAAATAGGTTAGGAAGGTGTGTTGGATATATTCACTGTCTTGAGTCATTTGTAAAAAATAATGAAGGCAGGATACAAATAAATAAGGGTGGCTCATTTGTTAAGATGCTGAGTTTGTTGGCTGGAAAGCCGGCAGTCCAGGTTCAATACCCAAGTGCCACACAATGGGGTGAGCTCCAGTCCTTGCCACACTCTTGCCAACCTAGCAGTTTGAAAGCATGCAAATGCAAATAGAGAAATAGGCATCACTTTGGTGGGAAGGTAACAGCGCTGGCCAGATGACCATGAAAATGTCTTCAAACAGCACAGGCTTGAAACAGAGATGAGCACTGCCCCTTTTACCCCACAAAGACTAGCGGAGTAAAATTCTCAGGGATTTCTTTACTCTATCATCTGTCTGTCTGTCTGTCTGTCTGTCTGTCTGTCTGTCTGTCTGTCTGTCTGTCTGTCTGTCTGTCTGTCTATCTATCTATCTATCTATCTATCTATCTATCTATCTATCTATCTATCTATCTATCTATACAAATAAAAAAATACATTAAAATTTAGGATACTATCTCCAACTTTCCCAACATTTGTTGTTAACAAATGAACTATAAAATTAAGAGCCTTTTTTGCCTGTGTAATATCTGGCACATATGGAAAGTGAGAATGTTGCCAATTTTTAGCTATGAAGTACAAAATGTACTCCACCATGAGCTGTTATTAACCCCGGTCACAAATCCATCTGGAATTCTGTAGCAGATAGGGCTGGTTCAGAGAGATTCTGCGGCTCACTGAGCTACTGATCCAGGATCTCCTTAGAGCACGGGTGTCAAACCTACAGCATCAGATTGCCATCACATGATGTTTTGTGACATTTTTCCCATTCATGGAGCTGGGGTGAGTATGGCCTGTGCATGACACATCTGGCCCTCGGGCTGCCAGTTTGACACCCCTGCTTTAGAGTTTCATGAGCATTTCAAAGCATTAGAAATCCAGATAGTGACCAAACCCTGGACTGTTGTTTGTTTAATCTTGGCTAGTGGAATCAATTGCTGACTTTACATGGAAGCTAGGTCAAAATCAACCAAGTCAACTTCATTTAGCATTTTGGGAAAACTAGATCAATTTGTCTGCAAAATCCCTATGAGTTAAATTGTGCTCTTCCATATCAATATAAATCGTAAGGATACAAGTAACAAAATTACAAAATTATATTGATATTGATATTGTTTCCTGATTGCTTATTTGTACCCTATGACTATAATTAAGCATTGTACCTTATGATTCTTGATGAACGTATCTTTTCTTTTATGTACATTGAGAGCATATGCACCAAGACAAATTCCTTGTGTGTCCAATCACACTTGGCCAATAAAAAAATCTATTCTATTCTATTCTATTCTATTCTATTCTATTCTATTCTATTCTATTCTATTTGATTCGATTCTCTTCCATATATGGAAGATACAGCTAGGGAGGGCAAGAAGGAAAAGGAGATGAATGAGTCCAGCTTCTATTTACAGGGACATCCAATTACAGTGTTTAAAGAAGATGCTAGGTGTTCTATAATAGTTGGTTCTCAGCTCTGCTTTTGATTTTTGTTAATTTTGTTTCATCCAAGCACAAATGTCTGAAGAACTTTGGCAGACACATAAAGTTCCTTTTCCTAAAATCAGTTTTTTTGTTCCTGTTCAACTCTGTTTCAGTGATAGTTAATCCACATAAAGGAATAAGATATAAGAGCTGGGTATGGAAAAATAAAGTAAAATTATACTGCATTTCTTTCTTTATGAAATTCATGTGCTTCTTCCATCTGCTCAGACTCTAGGAAATATAGAGATAATGATGACAACCTATGAACATTTCATTTTGCCTGACAGCAACTGCTTAAGGCTGGACAAGTATTTCAGATTGAAGATTGTATTTTTCTCTTTGAATGATCTACTGGAGTGTTCTTTCCAAAATGTAAGGTTTAGGATATTTAAATTAAACATTATATCTAAAGTAGATTAATATACTACAGTTTTATTATTCCTTCTGCATTCAGAAATGTTCTTATGACTTTCCAATTTTAAAAAGTAGTATTTTTCAATCTTGGCAACTTTAAACTGCGTGGACTTCAACTCCCCGAATTCCAAGTATGGTAGCTGGGGAATTTTGGGAGTTGGTTAAGATTCAGAACAATTTATGGGTTAGTTACCATGGGATCTGCAGCCAATGATCCACACCACAGAATGAATGGGAAGACTGCTGAATTGAATGATCCCCTTTGTCAGTCATTAATGAAATAAAACATATTGTCATCTTAATGTCCATTTTAAGTCCATTGAAGTTGACCATTTAAAATTGTCTAACAATACACTGTTGATGTAAGCATCTCTTTTCTAGGGTTGTTTTGAAATCTTTTGTTTACCTAGGCAAAGGGAACGGATATCACTTAATCATGCAACGTTCAAAACATTCAAAACACATATGGGATCATATGAATGTATGAAATGTATCTGTAAGTTTTGGCTTATTTTATAAAATAGGATTTCAACCTTAGCAGAGAATTTCAGGAAGAAGGTGATTGAAAGAACCTACAAAAATGTTAATTACACATGTGAACTATCACTGAAAGGTAATATGTTTTTTTCCCTGACAAATGACATAGATTTCTTTCCTGAATATAAGTCCTATAAAATATAAAAGTGACTGGAATGGTTAAGAATTAGCACTTTTGAAGCTTAATCCTTACCAAGAATACATAGAAGATACATTCCCTGAACTCAATAAATTAAATTCTAAGTAAATATACTTGCAATAAAGGCTGAAGTTCTTTTACTCAAAGGTACGTCATACTGTTTTAATTGAGATTCCCTTTTTGCCCAGGCAAAACTCTTAAAAATACTCCAATAGCTTAAAAAGCAGAATGCTAGCAAAAATCTTGCTTCTAGCTTATGGTCCTTCTCCCCCTTTTCTTCTCTCTTTTTTGAAATAATGCAGTTTCTGGATCATGTTTCAGAAATTTATTCTTTTGCAAACAAAATGCTAACAGAAGAGATATTATCCTGCAAAAGCTGATTCAAAATCTTCACCACACTTTGAGACAGATTCCCTTTTACTTAGTACTTGGCTAACAAGCTGATCAATGTATAAATATCAACGAGCTGTTCACTGACCTGTATAATAATTCAGGACGGGAAGCAAACTGAGGATGCCACGAACAAAGGATGGAAGTAACAGAAGGTGTGCATATCAGGAAGAGAGCGAGAACATGCACGTTGCATCCTGAGATACTATTTTCCAACTATGTACATTTCAGCTTAGTAGCTGAAGTTCTAGGATAGCTTTCAGCTTGCTACTACCCTCTGCTGGCTACTCTTGTTTTAACTTATTTCCAGCAGAATTGTGTTAACTTGTTGCAACAAAATATATATATATATATGGTTTTGCTCACCATTCTTATTTAGGGCAACCATATCTGAGGTGCAAAACTCTGGATAACCAGGAGAGGACCAGAAAGGCAGAGAGGAAACATCAAATCTTTGCTGCCATCTATTGGTTGGTAATATTTTTGCAGACCTAATATTGCAGCCGTGTCCTTGGTGTATTTTAAATCTGGGGATCAAGTGAGATCTTAAGAGATCATTCTTAGGTTTGGGGAAAAATGCATTGAGATTGTTTGACCATCTAGGGAGAATGAGGAGTGAATGACAAAACAGGTATATAAAGGAAGAAAAAGAAATGAGTTGACACCAAGGTTGAGGAAATTGTGATTGGATGGAGTTTATGAGATCCTGGAAAAGAGAGACGAGACATTTTGAAGAACCAAAGTGAATGTATAAAGCAGTTTGTGGACATGACAAAAGAAAGAATGATTTGGAAGGAGACAAAGTGGTAAAGAAGGATACTGAATTGTGTTTGGGTAACTTGTTTCAGCCATGCTTTTTTTCCCATTTCCTATCTCATTCTATAATTTCCAGGCTCACTATTTCTTATCCTTTTTTACACTTGCTTAATGATGTTGGCCCTGAAAGGAATGACTTAATACATGCATACAGTAGGTATGTAGCATGTGGTGCTACATATTGTGGGCACCCATCTATTCTCTAAAGATATAACACATTAACCTGACAATCATGTTAAACCATAATACTATTTACTTGTATACAAAAATTATATATACTCACAAGTTGTGTTTTGTCTGACAAGGTTTAGCATTTACCTTATTGTCTGAACAGTGTCTAGTTGCAAGAATTTGCTAATTAATCAATTTTTTCAGTTAATGTTTGTCCTATTTTGTTTTCAGTGCACCCTATCTGCCTTTTCAGCACAGTGTTAAACATTGGATTACAATTTTGGACTCTTCAGTAAGCCATAATATGCTTGTTTTTCATTGGTTAAGGAAACACAGCATTTGGGATTTGTAGAGCATGGCTTATTTAGCCATGGTGATCCCCCCCACACACACAAATTGTGGTAAATGAAACAATGGGACAGAGCTAGCCTTGTGGCAGCTGAAAGATAAACACATTTAGTGTAAATAAACTCTGATGGATTGGAGTTGACTGTTGCATGGAATTACAAGTGAACATGCCTAATGGGATTAAAGTGGGACTTAGTCATGCTTAGAAGCATGGAACCAATCCTTTCCATGAAAGTCTTTAAGGCAGAGCCCTGATGTTCAAGCAGTGTTGTTGTAAAGAAAGCAGGGAACAAAGACGCATGAATTGAAACAGAGAAGGAGAGAGGTATGATTACTGAGTGTGAGCATTAACAAAAGTGCATCATTGTGCACTTTCTTTTTAAGGACTTGCACCCTACATCTGATAAAGCAGGTTGTGAGTCACAAAAGGTTAATGAGGAGTTCTTTAATGTGCCATAAGATGTTTTGCTACAAAGCTTGTGGAAATTGCCCTTTTGGAAATGGCCAAGGGAACTCCACCACTAGAAGATGATTACAGAAAATCAATTCCAATATTTCAAGAGTCAAATAATAATTTTAAAAACTGCCAAATGCATCCCTCTCAGTTCTAATTCTGAAGTAGATATGTATTCATTAGGTTTAGATTATTCTTCATCTTTTAGTGAGGCTACCATCTGGTTTTTAGACATATTTTTCCAGACAAATAGTACTTCTGTTCTAAACAGATGCTCATTGTAAGTGATACATAGATACAAGAGTAGTCTGAGGACCATAAACCTCAGTGGAATCCCATAATGATACATTACTTTTCCTCAATAATTGCTTCAGTGGACTTTGGCTGCAGGAAAGCAAAACAAAACTGGAAGAACTGTTGAAATTTGTGTTTATCACTCTGGTTTTTCTTAACCTTGACTTTGTACTCAGTGGACCAAGGATGAAGACTCTGAATTTTCCCATGTGTTGAAATAGCTGTCAAGGCTGCTGGTGCATTTAATTTATGCAACATGTTTCCCGAGACCTTTCATGTGTGCCAAGTGCTTGAGAGATGCTCTTTATTGGGAATAATTCAATGAAGTGGCCCATTTTTGTTAATCCCTCCCCCCTCCTTTTCCTGCAAAGTTCTTCAGCATGGTATCTGTTATTAAGAATGCATCCTTCCTTCTTCATCCCAATGGACTGTGCTACCATTTTCAAGTAGCAGTTGAATATTCATGCTAGCAAAAAGGACTTGCACGTGGGAATAGCACACATATAGCACACATATGTGCTACAAGAAACCACTTAGTAAACAGTAGTCAGTTCAGATACTTCACTAAATCTTAATGTGATTGGTTTGGTTTGGGCTTGGTGGGATGTGTGAATGGGACAGTAAAAAAGTTGGCCTTCTTTTAGGATAGTAAACCACCATTTAATCTAGATTGTTCTCACTGTCAGGAAATTTCTCCTTATTTCTTTATTATTATTATTATCTCTTTTATTCATTAAACATGAGATTCAGTCAACTGAACATTTAAAAATGTGTCACAAACATGATTGGTTGGTGCTAATTTGATACGGGTTGCTGCCAGCCTCCTAGGTATCAACCAAGTATCTTCTTAAAATATATGATGTTCTGAGTAGTGCAGTTTTTTGCAGTTCCACTGGTATTATTACAGGAAGCTGCAATTTCTGGATGTGTTTTGTAAAATTCTTGGACATGGTACCAAGTTCCTTGGTGACAATGGGTATCACTGTTACATGTTTCACCCATAGCCCTGTAGTTTTGATGGCCAGGTTGCAATATTTCATGATTTGTTTTCCAGTTCTTTTTCTTTGACTCTGGCATCTCCTGGTACAGCAATGTCAATAAACTGTATGCTTCAGCCCTCAACAACTGTGATATCTGGCGTGTTATGTTCCAAATGACAATCCGTCTGTATTCAAAAGTCCCACAAGATCTTCACTGTCTCATTTTCAATAACTTTTTCCACTTTGTGCTCCCATGACTTTTCGAATACAGGTATGTCGTATTTTTTACATAATGACCAGTGGACTAATTTAGCAACTCTATCATGTCTAGCTTCATAATCAGTTTGGGCAATTTTGCTGCACTCACATATTAAGTGTAAAACAATTTCAACTCTGTCGTTGCAAAGTCGGCAGTTCGGATTGTCAGTGGATTTTTGTATCTTCACTTTCATGGCATTAGTTTGTAGTGCTTGTTCTTATGCAGCAAGTATTAAATCTTCCATTTCTTTCTTGGTGGTTCCTCTCTTAAGCCATGCCCATGTCAAGTTATCATCACATTTTCCTTCAATGTTTTTCAAGTGCTGTCCATACAAACCTTTGGTTTTCCATCTATTTAATCTGTCATCCAGCTGTTTTTCTTTATATTCTGCCTTTGTTTCTGCTGTTTTTATAATATTCTCTGTTTTCACAGCCTGCAGCCATCTTTCTGTGTTTTGGTTCGCATAATCATTCAAATTTGGTTTTTCTTCTTCTACAGTTTGATGGATTTGCAATAGCCCTCTGCCCCCTATTCTTCTTGGCAGGTACAACCTATCGGTGTCACTTTGTGGATGTAAAGCATGGTACATATTCAAAAGTTTATGCATTTTCCAGTCCAGGTTTTCCAGTTCAGCCACAGTCCATTATTATTATTATTATTATTATTATTATTATTATTATTATTATTATTTAATCTTTAGTGAGATTCACAGCCTTTGAGGCTGGTTAATAGCTCAGCAGCTCGAGTCCTAACCAAGGACCTAGGAACTGTTAAGGTATCGTCGGAGGATGTAAGCTGTTCCGAGTAAAGTGGTTTTTTGTAGAGTCAAAATGTTCAAGTCCGGCAAATTTAGAATTTCTAAATAGCGGGGTAGCCCTTTGGGTATTGCTCCAAGGGCTCCAATTACAATCGGGACAACACACGATTTCTTTTTCCACAGTCACTCAACTTCAATTTGCAAATCCTGGTACTTTGTGATTTTTTCTTGCTGCTTATCTTCAATCCGTGCATCACCAGGTATTGCAATGTCAATGAACCATACTTTTTTCTTTTTAACTATTGTTATGTCAGGTGTGTTGTGGACCAAGTGCCTGTCAGTCTGAATCCTAAAGTCCCACAAGATCTTGAGTTTCTCATTCTCTAAAACTTTCTCAACCTGATGTTCCCAGTGGTTTTTGCTGTACTCAAATCCAAACTTCTGGCACAATTTCCAGTGAATGATCTTAGCAACACGGTCATGGCGTTGTAGGTAGTCAGTTTGTGAAATTTTGCTGCACCCACTGATCAGGTGGTCGACTGTCTCATCTTTCTCATTGCAGAGGCGGCATTTGCTGTTGGTGGTAACATGTTGAATTTTTGCCTTCATGCAGTTTGTGGCTAGGGCTTGTTCTTGAGCTGCCAAAATAAAGCTTTCTGTTTCTTTTTTCAGTACTGCTGATCTTAACCAGTTCCAAGTTAGTTTCTGGTCAGCTTTGCCTTCAATACTTTTCAAGTATTGGCCATGCAGAGCTTTGTGTTTCCAATTTTTAGCTCGCTGCTCAATTACTTCTTTCTTATATTCTGCTTTTGTTTTAGTTGTCTTTAAAAGGCCTCCTTTATTTACTTCCTTAATCATTGGTTCTTCACTTTTCTGGATGTAATCATTCAAGCTGCATTTTTCTTCTTCCACAGTCTGCTTTACTTGTAGGAGTCTTCGACCACCCTCTGCTCTTGGTAAATATAATCGGTCAACATCACTTTTAGGGTGCAAGGCATGATTCATTGTCATAAGCTTCCTTGTTTTTCCGTCCAAATTGTCTAACTCCATCTGGGTGGTGGTGGTGGTGGTTGTTGTTGTTGTTGTTGTTGTTGTTGTTGTTGTTGTTGTTATTATTAT